ATGCTAAATATTCATTTAGCATAATATAATAGTGATTTGTTGCTGCTGCATTGCATTTTATAAATTGAATTAAACGGTTCAGGCAGATTTTTTATGATCATTCATTTTTACAGTTGTTTTCCCTTATCAATCTCATATTTGTGAACTGTCCAACATTCTTTCTTACATTTAAAGATACTCTCATGAGTAGGCATCGGCTTCTGACTTTCTGGGAATCGACTTCTAACTTGGTATGTTAGAAATAGTCACAGGCTCGTTGCGGGCCCTCTATAGGCTTAAGAACTTTCTGCCTGTGAAAACTAAGATAATGCTTGTTCAGACTAATATTCCCTATAATCGACTATGGTGATGTGTGCTACTTTGACCTGAATGCAGATCTACTCAATAAGCTTCTCAATAATTGCATTCGATTCGTTTTCAATTTACGCAAATATGATCACGTGTCTCAGCATCGCTCCCTTTTAAAGTGGCTACCAATTCGCCAACGCAGAGAGACACGGGCATTAACTACCCTATATTCTTTACTCTTTTCTCCAAGTGCTCCTTCTTACTTAACTAGTAACTTCAATATTTAGGTGCAAACCACGCTAAAACCCTTAGATCTTCAAGCAACCTACTTCTTCACTGTCCCACTCACCACACTGACTTCGTACATTCTACTTTTCTGGTACAATCTGTTTTGTTATGGAATTGGCTCCCTCTCGAGATCAGGATGGCAGAAACTCGGCAAACCTTTAAACACCTGTTGCGGAAACATTTTTCAAACACCTCATCAGATCCATCTTAATTATTTTTTTTGTTTTACTTTCACTCCTAGGATATATATATATATATGTGTATATGTTATATAATTATATGTATGTAAAGGTGCATATGGATATATAAATACTTATGTATGGTATGTGTTAGTATTATTATCACTTATTGTATATGTATTTTTTTTTTAATATTCTAATGTAGTTAATATGATATCCTACATGTGCTATATTTTTTCTTAAAATCTCATTTTTAATTTATTTTGTGCATCTACCATGTTTTGGCTCTGCATCGCCCTATGGTTGACTGGGAGAAAATGCCTACGGCATTAAGTCCGCCTTTGTCACATTTGTGCATAAAGTGTAAAAATAAATAGAGGCAAATCCATCATCAACAGTCTTTAGTAGTCCGCATAGGCCTCTCCTTAGAAAGGAGGTTTTGACCTACTACGTGGTACACACTGGCCGACGGGTCGGTATAGAGTTTGATTCAAGTTTACCTTCTCTTGTGTGCAGTGTTGTTGTCTTGCGTTGTTTGCAAATCCATAAAGATTTCTAAAGACGCATTAATCGATTGGAGGTAACTGTTACATGAATGATTTTTACGAGAAATTGGAATGTTAAACGAAAACAGAATGTATGATGTCGCATTGTTGTTCTATTTTCCAGAGTGTCAACATTCCACTGAACAATGATGTTTGCAAGTTGTGTTCAGACAGATGTTTACTTTTAAAACAGTTTTTACCGTTTTTGGAAACGGATGTTGTTTGGTAAACCACGTTATTAAAAATATATATATATATATATTTATGAATAGAACTAGATTTTGCAGAACGGGACTTTTTCTTCCGACTGACGCAGCTCTTTCTGGGCACGTCTGCTTAGGGAGGTACCAGCAGTCTATCGCTAGGGGTGTATTGAGTTGCGCCTGTCACCACTGTAGTGCAGTTTGATTTGAACTCGGCTCAGCACACACTGGTCAACGTATCAGCCGTTACACGTTCCATGGCTGGCGTACCTTCCAGCGTCTCATGCTGTCCTGAGTGTGGTCTCAGGTGGCCGGGTTTTCTCCTCCAATCGCCACGAAAGCCTTCCGCGAGGAGGTGACGTCCTCGTGTGTAAAAATGGGAGTTTATCCCCTAAGGTGGTGCCCGCGATTTTAAAGGTTAGACGCTAGGAGCGGTCTGCAGCCGTTATGTACCCAAGTACGACCGATCTCAGTCGGCGTGAAATGTCATGCGGGTATATACACGGGGGTCGGCATTAAGTCACGTGACAGCAAACACCAATCAGAAAGTGTTATGTCACGCCACGCAAAACATCATTGTTGTTGTTGACGTTTTCATACAACAGAGCAGGTTACTCCTTATTGTTTTTCGTTTTTAGCATATTTTCTCACCTTAATAAAGTTTCAGTTGACACTGGACACAGATGTAAACAGTTTTGTTTCGCAGACTGTGACGTCATTCAAGACGCCATGACGTTAATTCAGCGTTTTGAAGATAAATTTAAACTGTTTTTTTAAATACAAAATACGTAATGTAAATATTACTTTTTCTTTTAAATATAGGTTTTTCTGGATAAAATAGATATAAAAATATATAGTTAACCTAGTTATCAAATTGAGTCAACCAGCCTATATTGAATATTATAAATCCTGTTGAGGACACAATAAGAAAGGTATTCTTCAATAATAGTATTGGTGCAAATGCAGTTTCATTATTAACGGGATTAACCTTAATCTTACCTATACCGATTTTATAAAACAATGACACGTGTTTATACAAGTTTTTAACTGGGTGCTACCGGGTTTCACGCTAATATTCTTAATACTCCGTCTTTTCAAACTTTTACTATGATTTTAAAACTGCCCTAGACTTAACCTTGTTAGATAGCTGACAAGACGGACAACTTAACTTTCATGGATTTCTTTTAAATATTCGTCAAAGAAACAAAATGTTATTCATATTTATTTGTTTTTGCTATTTTTAACCATCCACTTCGGCCCAGTTTTTTAGGTTAATTACAATTTTAATGTAAATTCAAAAAATAATAATGTATGTGTAACACTAAAACAGTAAAAAAAACTAAGGATGTGTTTTAAAAAAATGTATTGCAATTTTTATAAAAATCTTAAAAGCCCAATATCTTGAAAATGATTGGTTTTGGGATATGGTATTTCATAGTGAAATCTATTAGTAATAATCATAACCCCCTTTTTTTTTTTTTTTTTTTTCCGTGCGGAAATCCCCTCGGATACCACCTGTCGGTGGCATGTCGGACTCGAACCGACTAAAACCGCACGCCGTCTCGGGTACTAATAGCCGGGGAACCAGGTATACCCTAGAAAGGAAGTCCCTGGTACCCCGACATACCTCGGGTCATCTACAGACGAGTAGACGACCCCCCCCGTGTGGGAACCCCATGTTCCCAGTGCTCCCTGGAAGCTAGCGCGCTTGCCGCCACCCCGGCCTGCTTCTGCTAGGGTGACAGATGGCCTCACCTGTCACCCCCAGGCCTGCAATCATAACCCCCTAAAGTATTTGGGTCGTCGTATATTTTGAAACGACACACCCGTGCATTCATTGTGTCGTTCGCATAGTAGGTAGGTAGTAGGTAGCAATGACTCATGCCAATGAACGACACATTTATATTACGCACGACACTACGAGGGCACCATGAACAACTGAGCTTTGGTAACTTGCACGCATTCCGTAATAAGCGCACTTGGCAGAGCTGCCCAGCCTTTCACCGAAATTATTTATGCTAGAGTCGAAGCGAATCGAAGCGTTAATCTAAGTTAATATAACAAATCCACCCTTATTTCAACAATGTAATTCTCATATTTGTTCTGAGGGCCTGTTATAAGCTTATCTTTTCAGAGTGCCAAACTACAAACAGTGCATCACCTACGCGCCAAAGCGTTTTCTAATAATTGTCCTTGATCGTCATTTCACGAAGTGTTATCATTATTTCGCGTACAATGTAGTCTTAAAACAGCAAATATCACACCAGACATTTGCGTGACTCCGAGTGCCTAGTGTGAGTTTATTTTACATTGATCGTCACGGTGACCAGGGTCGGCGTTGTGATTGGTGAAGAGTTCAATGCCGGCCAATCGCAAAGATTTAAGGCTTCAAGCAGCCCTTTGCTCATCAACAAAACATTTAGCTAATGTGAAATAGCTGTTTGTAGATGTTTTTATACTTCTTAAGTCAACCTGAGAAAAATATGAACATAAAATAAAATTGCTCAAAGTGCTACAACTACCTTTATTAGTGCTTCCTTTGCAAAATTATAATAAATAAGCAAAAGTGTGCCTTTACATACAACTATCTTCAGTCATCTATCTTACATTTAAATATTTTTTATCAATGTAATTTCTCATTTAGTGCTTTTGTAGTATCATAACATAAAAGAAAAAAAAACAAATATGATGAAAAATATATATTTGGAATAAACTGAACAGGTATAATGGTTCTAACTGACAAAAAACATATTTATTCGTACATATTCAATCTGATATTATAAAAAAGATTAACTATACTTCTAGAGCAGAAAGTAAAATAGCGAGGCAGTGTTTCAGTGGTCACTCAATGTCTAGTTTTAAGACCCTTACCCCGTACATAATAAGGATTATATTAAGGCTACACAAATTTTTCATAACAAACTGTTACTTATAATAATACGAGTTCAGCAGGACCTTCTGAGACTTCATTACACACGAAAATTTTCAATGATAAAAACAGAATAGTCAGTGTGTATTAGCGACATTTATAATTTGTAGAAATAAAATTTATGTTCTATGTCTTTTCAGATTGATGTTCTGTCTTTTCAGATATTTAGCGCAGAGTAGTAGACTATGCGAAGAATCGTGGAATATTAAAAAAAAAGTGTAAATATTTGTTTGCGTTACTCATAGATACCCTTTTATTTTCTCTATAAGATCACTACAGTACCGTCACGATTCAATTAATTTAATCGTGTTTTATTGTCAAAATAACCTGTGGTGGCATTCTTCGTTATTTTGTAGTTCATATATTGCCATATATATTTCAAATATGTATGTATATGTAACAATCATTTCTAGAACATTTTATAATCTGTAAGTGATTTAGATATATTTATTGGCTAATAAATACCATCATCTATTTTCCTCACATAGGGTTTATTCTAAAGCAACTATTCCTCCTGCTGAACTCTTGACAAAATAAAATGTTGACAAAGGTTGGTTACATAATGATATTATCGCCTGGTCACCGCCTGCCAGTCATCATCTGGGTCGCGCTCTGAAATAATGAAAACAATGTTACAAATGTGGGCAAGTTTAAGTAACTTCCTAGATATGGGATTTTTTGCTCAATTTGCCGACGGCTTAATACTTTAAAAACTGCTACCGGACGTTTAATTACGTCAGTGTCAGTGTCGTCACATTGGAGAGACGTGGGAAGAGCCTTCACATCGCGAACGTGGAATAATTTGTGATGTAGTCTTTGGTACTAATCAAGAGGTAATTCGACGTTAACAGAATAACAGTTTGAACAGTTATTAGAGTTTCAAATTTTTAAATCATTTCGTATTTGTGAAGAAACTATAATAGCAATTACGTTTTTCCTCGCGGCGAGGCGGAGGCCGACGGTCGCGGTCATCGCGCCTCGGTCCATCACGGTCACGGTCGTCACGCCTCGGTCCGTCGCGATCATCACGCTTCGGCCCATCGCGATCATCTCGCCTCGGGCCATCGCGATCGTCGCGGCGCGGTCCGTCACTGTTAAATATTACCGTTAGAATAGTGTTTTACATACATTTACTAGTCATAAGGTTTTCTATTAAGAAATGTTATGAACGCACCGATCATCTCTTCTAGGTGGATAACGCTCACGGAAACCACCGCCATCGCGATCGCGGTCGCGTGGAGGTCCATCTTTAGAGCGCCAAGTAGATGATCGTTCCTGAAAAAAATTATTAATCAGTATAAATATGACAAGTCTCATACATCCTGTATCCTGTAAAGATATAATTAATTTTTTTAGAAGTAAATGAACATGAAATTTACTGATAAGTTCAAAGCATTTTGTTTTATCGCTAAGTAGAAATTATTTGAAGCAATACATACAGCTGAAGGTGGTGGGTCAGCGGGCCCGCGACGCCAGCTGCCACCTTCTGGACCGCTGGAACGGCCGCCATAACGTGGTCTGCCACAAAAAATAATAATTAAAACAAAGGACATCAGATTTTTATTAAAAAAAAAAATGGTTTAGAAAAGAATATATTTAATAAATAAAATAAAGATAATAATATGTATGTATACAATATTAGGTGCACATCTTTCACATTATAGGCTACTCCCAACGTAATCGGGGACTTAAACAAACAAAACCATACAATTTCATCGAAACAAATTACCTTGCCTACCTTGCCTTACCTTGCCTCGGAATGAAATACTAATCTCACAAGTATTTATGTGGCAATAGTACGGTAACTACTTCAACGACTGATGCACCACTGCCGCCATTTATCTCCTAAGTCTCATTAGTACAAGTGTTTTCTCACTTATATTTCTATACAACACTATTGTTTTAGAAAATTATCTATGCATGTGTCTGAGGCAATTTATACACTAGTAATATTAGTCAGATTATGGTCGTAGTATATTCCATACAGGACATTACTACCCCATTTAGCATCTCGTATCTTGACCATCTGTTCATATAAAAAAAATGGTATTTAAAAGTACTGACCTCTCTCTGTCACGATCTCCACGGTCTTTTTCCGGCTCCCTGTTCGAAGATCGCCAACCACCATCGTCCCTCGGAGGAGCACGATCATCCCGAGCGCGATCGTCACGGGCGCGATCATCACGAGGCCGTTCGATTCGATCATCACGAGAGCGCTCATCACGCCTGGAAAGAGATTATACTTGTTAACCTGGTTCTTTTATCTAAATCATTAACTGTTTTTATGTCAATCTAAAATTGCACACCGTTTACCAAGTCGATCTAAATATTTCAAACATATTCAAATAGTGAGACAAATATCTGTAAGATAAATAAGCGTCCAATGGAAACATAGAAAAGAAATCGTCGAATAGATTATTCTACTATGTACTACTACATAAATACATACTACTATTATATACTGCGATATTTAATTTACAACTCAATGGGATACGTCTTTTATTTTACTCAAATTTTAGAAGTGCTAGTGCATTTTGTTTAGTCTAAGTTGATCCATAAAGGGTAGCAGTTAAGTTAATTACCTGTCATCTCTGAGCGGTGGCCTCTCATCCCGTGCCGGAGGTCTGTCGTCTCTCAACGCCGGACGATCGTCTCTGAGGCCGCGACGATCAGGCGTACGGGAACGTTCGTCACGCGGAGGATCACGCCCACGGGGACCGGCTGAGGGGAAGCGTATAAAGGTTTTTTAATCCAGATGTAATAAAGGTCATATCAAATTAGCACGTACGGTTGGCTCGGCAAGTAGGCAAGAATTTATGAATGATTACACAAACCTGCTTTCCAGACATCGCCCTTCTTGTCGTCCTTGGGCTCGTTCTTGGAGCGCCAGGCGTCGTCCCGCGGCGCGCGGTCGGTGGGCTCCCCGCGGCGCCAGCTGGACGTGTGCGACTTCTGCTCCTGCTCCAGCTTGCGCTGGATCTCTGCCTCCTTAGCGCGGATCTTAGCTTCCGCCCGTGCCAACATCTCTTGATGCTCTCTGTAGAGTAGACACTTGTATTATTCAAACATATAAAATAAATAGGTGCGTGTGGTTTTCTTTCTATTTCATTGAAAGTTTATAGTATTTAAATAATTGCAAACGCGACTCATAATGTGAATAATTAATGTCCTGTAGATGCGGTAGCTCTTTGATCGTACCTTTCTTCTTTTTCTTTACGTTCACGTTCTGCTGCCATTTCTTCTTGGTGCTTCCTTTCGCGTTCCTCGCGCTCTTTCCTTTCCTCCTCCTCCTGAATACGTCTAGCTTCCTCTGCCGCGCGTTCCTCGGAGCGTTGTTTCTCTGCTAACCACTGAATGGAAATAAGTAGTTCAGGATAACGGTAAAAGGATAAAAGGTAAAGTGAAAATTAAGGTATACCTTAACCGTCTCTCGTAATCAAGGACTCCACCTAATTACGAATTGGACTGACTCAGCGAAAATATCTTTAATTCATAAAAAAAAAAAAAAAAATCAAAATCGTCTCTTGTGTAGACTCTAAAGTCATAGATTACACATACACAATAGCGACAATCTGTTTTGTCAAATAATTGGCAAAATAAAGTATAACTATCGAAAGTCCATTAAATGCCTGCGCGTATCTACAACCGACCGCCTCGCAATTGCGAACCGGGCGAAGTGCGATACGGACGAATGCGAAGTGGAGTAAGCGCGGAGTAGAGTGGGTGTTACCTCCTGGCGCCGCTTGTCGATGCGCTGCTGGCGGCGCTCGAGCAGGCGCTTGTCGCGCTCGGCGCTGAGCTTGTCGCGGAAGGCGGCGAGGCGCTGCGAGTGCGCGGCGCCTCGCTCGCTGCGCAGCTTCTCGGTGAACTGCTCCACGTGCGGCGCCATGCGGCCCAGCCGCGCCACCGTCTCCACGTCGCGAGCGCGCGCCTCTGCAAACACAGTACATTTTATCACACACGTCATCATTTTAAAGAGCCGATGATCACTTATTATTAAACTAAAAATTGCCAGGCCGTTAGCTTGAACTATAGTTGAGTACGCTAGAAAAGATACGGCTGAAAGCACCATTCAATTTACAGGTCTTTAGCTCGTACACTTGCAGGGTAGTTATTGAGCAATAGCCTGAGTATGCAGGAAAAAAGCCGACTTCAAGAAACAATAAAGATACAGGTAAAAACTATTTTTATGTACAATGGTGACCTCATTTTTTTTTTATTAAATTACATTTCCATGGTAAGAAAGTGTATGTGTGAAGAATTTCAAATTAATAATAGCTCTTTCATTTTCGTCAAATTTCCTTATATTAATGAACTCAATTATAAGACTACTATGTATAAGAAAATTAAGTTTTCCTTTATATTAAAAGCATCCAGTACTAACTAATATCGGTTTCTTACATTTGCAACTTATTAGCAGTTGTAACCAATTTGATTACACTACAAAGAATACAGAACCAAATAAAGTACTATTCCATTACCATTACTTAACTCCAACTTAACTACTTTATGAAAAAAACTAAACTGCTGACTCTCAGACAACTTTACATCTTGCATTCTAGTTAAAAAGATTACTAACAATTCCATTCAAACTGAGATACAATTACACAAAAAAAACAATCACACAATTTAATAAATATAAATAAAATACAACTAGCGAAAGTACGAACTAACTACGGAAAAACAATACTATATATGAAGGAAAATAGCACATAATCGACTGCCAAAAGAATTAAAGGATTGTATTATAAATGCATTTAAAAGCGGACTTAAGAAACATGTATGTACATTGTGGTATCCAATACGCTAAGAGGTGAATATTCTATTATAAGTAGTATAAATACATAAGTTAATTACTATGTATCTCATTATAAGTAAACTAACTGTACGTTCTTATGAGAATAAAAATTCTTTAAACCCATAAGATAAACTTAAGATGTAGTGAAATATAATCAAGTCAAGTAAAAAATAAATACATCTAACTTACCGATGAGCTGTTGAATTCGTTCCTTCTCCTGTGCTTCCCAGAAAGCCTTATCTTGCACCTGCTTCTCTTCTAAGCTCTTCTGCAATAACGGAATCTCTTCCAAGCGTTTAGCACGCTCGAAGTAATCAACCTGTAAAACAACATTATTACTACTTTTTGTTTTGAATTTTCGACTACACATTCTTGGGCTAACTTCCTCTCCTGCACCTCTAGCTCAATGTTAAATGATAAAAATATTTAGGTTTTGATCCACTCGACTGAGTATACAAATATTAATAGCAAATATTTAAAAAGTATTAGGATAAAAAAAGTGTGCTTACAAAAAAAAACATGTTTATTATTATTTTTAACTTAAATTATTTCTGTACCTTTTTCTCCTGATTTTTGAGTTTCGCCTGCAGATCTCGTCGTTCTTTCATCAAGACTTCAGCCTCACGCTGATTGATAGCTTCGGCATCCATCTTTTTGAGAGCCTAAAACATAACATTTTGTCATAAACATAAATTTTAGTGCCTTCAATAAAAAATAATTAATAATAAAATCTTTATGCACATTTGTGCAGGCGTAATATAACACAGACAACACATGTTTAATGCAGAATGTCGCGTCGTACCTACTACATAATGTACCTCCGAGGCCTACCAAGTACAACTATAGTGTAGATGCACATGGGATTTATTTCGGAGGCAAATAAGTAATTGACATTGTACAAAAATATAACTCTAATTTATTATCTATCTTATCTTTCTACATTTTAAAACAACAACAACATCACTGAAGTAGAAAATTGGATGGTAATTAAGAGCTGTTATAATTTGACAATAAAAAACAGTTAAGGGGGTATTCTAGTCTAGAAGCCCGAATTTCGAGCGGTTATGTTTATGAGGATTCATAAAAAAAAACAATTTATATTTTTACTATACACTTTTTTATGGCTTATTTATTCATATATCAAGAGTACACAAAAAAAAAATCAGCTTTTTTCCTCCTCTACTTCAATCACGCATATCTTGCTGAAATATAAATATTTTTATTTTTTGTGTACTCTTGAAATCTTAACAAATAACCATAACAAAGTGTATAGTAAAAATATCAATTGGTTTTTTTAATGAATCCTTAAAAAACGTTCGAAATTTGGGTTACTAGACTAGAATACTCCTTTAATACTCGAATCGATCATGGTGCTGATGTATAGGTTACCTCCTCGTCGAGCTTCTGCAGCATCTTCTGTCCGTGCGCAGTCTGGCTGACGTGCGCGAGCCTCTCCCGCAGGTGTCGCTCGCGCATGGCGGCCAGCTCCGACTCCTGGCGGCGCCGCTCGCGCTCCTCGCGCTCGGCCTCCAGGCGCCGCGCCTCCGCCGCCGCCGCCGCGCGGGACACTTCCTCTTGCCGCCTAAGGGTCGAACCACAACGATCTCAGCGTCTACCTTATCACCACTCACCCGATGTATAAACGAATTTCATTTGTAGGGAACACAGCGAGTAAACAAATTAGGGGGAACCGCGACGGGATAAAATTATTATAAAATATTTTACATTTTAATGATAACTTTAATTTAAGCAAAAGTTACTATCGATAAGTTATGTATTTCGTAACTGGATACCGGTAGCGAAAAAAGTACCTAAGTTCCTCCTCCTCGCGCACGGTGTTGAGCCGCTCGATGTACTCTTTGCGCTCCTCGATGATCTTGTGGCGCTGCAGCACGCGGTGGTGCTCGGCGTGCTTGTGCTCGTGGTAGTGCTGCACCATGGCGTGGCGCGAGCGCTCGCGCTCCGCACGCCGCCGCGCCGGGAACAGCGTGGCGGCGCAGCGCGACAGCACCTCGGCCGCGCGGACCAATTGCTCGCGCACCTAACGTACGTACGAATCTCGTTTACATCATTTGGGTATGGGAATCGAAAGGCGATTGGCACGAACTTGAATATATATAGAATCTAATAGATGAAAAAAATCCCCTTACTTGAACTTAAATAGCAATAAACATAAAAGTAAAAAATTACGCACATGATTACATTTAAATAGAAAAGAACCAATATTTTAAACTATGTTTCAAACAGTAAAACAAACTCGATAGCAATACTCCGTGTTATATAGACAATACTACATGTTTCCTAAAACAGACGAACCTGTTCAGCAGGAGTGGCCTGAAGTATAGCACCGCCGCAAGCTTCATCAGCTGTAGAGCACCACTCACCGCCACCGGCCTCTACGCCGAAGTGCACGCATCTAATAACACAATACCACTTTAGAATAATTTGAGATTACAACAATAATCTAATGAAGAATATTGTTAGTTAACAAGCTTTGAAAAAAGATGGACTACAAAGATTTTCTAACTCTATGAATTTAGAAACAAGCCTATTTAAAAGTATAGTATAGTATTATGGGATAATTAATAGTCAATTTTCTGCAGGAATCACGATAGAAGACGAAAATCTAAATAAATAATCAATTTTATAATGTCTTAAGTCACTTTTAGTAAAAGCAGAAAAGTAGTTAATTTCATATTGATGGAAGAATGAATAACTATCATATAAACTTATTTATTGAGCCTTCCTGCAAACATATTGCATAGAGCGGACTTAATGCCTCAGGTATTTTCTTTCAGTCAAAACATTGGATGTTGGAAACCTGTGTGTGGCAGAGGTATATTTGAGACAGGTAAACTTATCTATTACATATTGCAACAGTTTAAATCTGTTATGTTTAAAAAGACTCAAGAACTAAACTTAGAAAGCTATTTTCATTCAAATGTTATGATTTATTGAAGAATGTTATTCAGAAGAGGAAAACAATAATCAAGTGTCAAAACATTACCAAGGTTAGAGATTTTAATTTTTTAAGTTAATAGCTTTGTGCAGGCGTATTTTAACACAGTTTACACATGTTTGATGCAGACTGTCGCGTCGCGCCCCCTACATTTATGTATGATGTCCCTCCGAGGCCTACCAAGTACAACTATAGAGCAGGTATACATGGGATTTATTTCGGAGGAAATTAGCTAAAATAGGACTCGTGGTTTACGTAGTAACCTTTTTAGGTGCGGTTTCGTTTCTAAGAGGAGCCTTACATACAAGTAGCTTATTAAATACAATAACATTGGAAATAGTAGATGTATTGAGACACTTTTATAACTGCTAGCTAGACTGTTTCCAAATGGATTTAAAAAAAAATGGTTTAAGGTACAAATGGGTAGAACAATTAAATGAATTTATGTGAATTGAAGAACCTAAGCTAAGCATTAAGTGTTACATATTTCGTAAAAGTAAAGGTAAACCAACAAATATTTGTGTCATCAAGTTTAAGGTTGTGAAACATACAGGTATAATAACTCATTAACATTACAATATTAATAAGATTATATATACATATGAAATAAATTCTGTAGACAAAAAGTCATCATACTAACTTATTGGCATGATCAACTCTTATTTGCATATCATTGTGTCTGACGCAATCCACCAGCAATCGCTCCAGGTGGAACAGATCGTCCGTTGAGGCCAGCTCCAGTAATCTTGAGAATTGAATGCAAGCGTAGCATTGTGCTACCTGGCGGATTAGACGTACGAGAGCAACGTCATTTAGCGCTATTGTATACTGAGCTAGCGGTGAATCTGGGAAGAGAATATTCATTTTAGTTATCAGAATAACAGATCTTATCCGTACACACTTAATAGAGAATAGTAAAATAAACATTTAACAGACTTTCTAGATTCTTTTCATTCTCAATTTGTGTGAAAATTACCAATAAAAATCAGAAAAACTAAAGAAATAAAGAAGAGAAGAAACAAGTAAATAATAACTACAGAAATGTAAATGAATAGTTTGTGCAAGTGTAAATTAACACAGACGACACTCCTTTGATGCAGACTGTCGCGTCCCACTTAACATTTAATGTTCCTCCGAGGCCTACCATATACAACTACAGAGCAGATATACATGGGATTTATTTCGAAGGATGGGCAGATAACTATGAAGTCAAATCAGTATCTTTTTATTAGTCAAAACGATAGACGCGGTACATTTTTGTATGAAACACTATGGCCTGACGTCATACCTAGCTATTGTCAAATTATTTATATTGAATGTTGATTTGAAGATTTAAAATGAATAAAAATATTAAATTGATAATTGAACATAATTCAGGCTGTACTTTACAATGTTAATTTTAATGATTCAGGCGAAATAATTTATTTTAAACCTAGGAACTAGGAATCTACCCTACTATTGGGATATTAACATATTTCATAAAATACAATATCGAACTAGCTAGCATGAATAACACATTGGTGTATAAGAATATCACACTGATATTGTACATATTACAAACTATAAAATTTAGGTCTATAACTTATAACGTACCTCTTCACTATTAACAAAGCAATCTACTTTATAATCATCTAGTATGGAAATAGTTAAAAACAGTAAATACTTACTAGGCTCTTCCTCGAGAGACTTGATAACACTCTTTACATTGTTGCAGAGTGTTAGTGGGTCAAACTCAACTTCCAGCCATGAGTACAATTGCTGCAGCTGCGGAGTTGCCAGAGCGACGACGTTTAAGCGCACAACATCTGAGAAATAAAAGTATAACTATTGATTACAATTATAGATTGTTATTTGAATAGACTTGTGTCCACTAATAACAAATTGCTTGGTAGAAAATTGCTTGTATAGATTGAAATTATAAATGAAGAGACATAGATAAGAAAAAAACAGTATTTTTCTCATAAAAGTAAAAGATTATTAATATTTAAAAAAAAACGAACAAAATAGGCATTCAGTCACTTGACAGCGAACACCAATCAGAAATTGTTACGTCATGCCACGCAAAACATCATTGTTCTTGTTGACGTTTTCATACAACAGAGCAGGTTATTGCTTATTGTTTTTCGTTTTTAGCATATTTTCTGATCTTAATACAGTTTCAGTTGACACTGGACACAGATGTATACAGTTTTGTTTCGCAGACTGTGACGTCATTCAAGACGCCAGGACACTATTCAGCGTTTTCAAGGGAAATTTAAATTGTTTTTTTTTTAAATACAAAATACGTAATGTAAATATTGCTTTTTCTTTAAAATATAGGTTTATTGGGATTAAATAGATATTGAAGTATATAATTAACCAAATCTCGCGAGATTGGGGATCAAGCGAGATCCCGCGAGTTTTTGAATAACATACTGCGAGATCTCGCGCGAATGGCAGTTTTGTGTGATTTTTTTAGCAAATAATCACAATATTTGAATAAATTAGGAAAATAAATAAATTATAAGTATTATAAGATAATCATTTATTTTCAAGATTTTTTTCAACAGACTTATGCATCAAACATTGTTTGACGTATCTGTCTATAATTTTTTAATAAACTTCTAAGTAGTAAACTTTGACGTACATACGTATCTATCAAAATAACCAATTAAAGAAACAACCGGTCTTCTCTTCTAATATCAAACAAGTCTTTATCTTTTAGTAATAAAATTTTATCCTGTGTAAAATTTTAACCTAAACCTCCTTTCTAAGAAGAGGCCTATGTCCAGCAGTGGACTAGTAAAGGCTGTTGATGGTGATGATGATGAAAAGTTTACTGCGAAACACCTCGTCCCGCGACCGCTAACTCAGGCCGCCGCCTCCCGCGCACCGAACGAAACCGACAGATCGCAACTCCGTCCGTGTCAGTTCGAATAAGACGTTTTTATGCTCGAGTGCAATCTCGTTAAACTCGCGAGATCTCGCCCTTTTTTTGTCCGAGATCAATTTAGCTAAAAAAAGGCGAAATCTCTCGAGAACTAGATTGCATTACCTAACGGTAAGTATACACACTGGGTAATGTGTATACTTACCGTTAGGGAATGCAAAGGGTGACAATTAAGGAAGTTTATTACAATTCTACATAATGCAGGTGCGTTGAAATCAGTTATACCTACTTAATTAATTATTTACAAATATAGTCTATATGGTGACAGGTTAACAATATAGAGTGTCCCCACCCCTATTCATCCCGTGGGTGTCGTGAGGGCTGACTAAGGAAGCAAACTATCCAGGACAACAGCACTGCAAAGAGAAGGAAAACTTAACACAAACCCTATACCAACCTGTCTAACCAGCATATTAAAGTAGGCAAAAAGGATCCTTTGCAGATCCTTTCCAGCACTTGACTAATAAAGACTGTTAATGATGATGATGATGATTTATAAATATATTAGTTTCTACAAGATTTGTTTTTATATGCTTAAATTATGATATGAAGTGATGCTGTAAATAACAATTACTTTAAAAAACTTAATTACCTTTCAACAAGCTTGCCCTAGTCGGAGGTTGTGCTAAACCAAGAAGAACGGCTAAACGTTGGGCTTTCTCAACTGGGCTCTTATCAGTCTCGACAAAACGATCGAATTCCGGGTGCAAAGATGGCAATGGTACGGACAATACCGCGACCAAAACGCGACACGCCATTCTAGAAATAAAAAAAAAAATGTTTTTTTTTGTAAACATATAAATAGTACTTTACGCAATGTAGTGTTATAGCACAATAATTAGGGTCTAGATTTAAATAATTTACCATTTTGTTTTAAATAAGAATATGTGCATTGTGTTTTGTAATATACACAAATTAGGTAGATTAGTTTGTTTTAAAAATTAAGATGTTATTTCATTTACATACTAAATTACATACTGCCCTACACCGTTCAGCTAGAGATGCAGACTACACAGTTCAGCATAGTATTATGCTATACTGAACTTTGTAGTCTTCATCTTTATTTACGTGTATTATGGCTATCAGACTATAATTTGTGCAGGCGATAGTTAACACAGACAACACATGTTTAATGCAGACTGTCGCGTCGCGCCCACTATATATTGTACCTCTGAGGCCTACCAAGTATAACTATTACACAGATATACATGGGATTTATTTCAGAGGAAAATATTGACCTTTTGGCGACATCATTGTTTTTCTATAAATCTTTCCAGTTATAATGTCAACTGTGTGATATGTATGTATGTTTGAGAGTAGTGTTGTAAATATTATACAAAATACTCATAAAAGTGGAAACTTTGGATAGCTCCCTAATTTCTGGTAATATGTTTATTATTTATTGGTTTCATTCTTTCACAATATTTACTGACTATTTTGACAATAGGGTAGATGCCTAGTTTTAAAATAATTTATTTCGCCTGCATCGTTTAATGTAACATCTCGAAGTAGAGGCTGAATTGTCCTCCATTGCCAATTTATTCTTTTTATTGATTTGATATCTTAAAATCAATGTTAAATATAAATGTTTTCACAATAACTAGGTATGACGTCACGAATCAGTGTCTCGTACAAAAATGTAGCGCGTCTAGCGTTTTGACGTTTAAAAAAAGACACTGATTTGACTTGACAGTCATCTACCCTATTATATCACGAAACATGTTAGTCTGGTATTTAAAATGGGTAATACCTGAGCTATAAGTATCAGCAACAAAGTAACAAAAATATGGACAAACTATACTTACTTTTGCAGTTCCTCCTGCGTAATATTTTTCTTCATCTCTCTAGACAGCTGGAAGAGTTTCAACAGTGCAGCGGCATGGAATAGGCAGTGACCAGCTTTCCAGAAGACTAGAGCCAACTTGCCGTAATAGTTCGCCATTGTTTTAGCAACAGGAGTTTTCTTAGACATATTCATCAGGTTGTGAATGTCTTCAATCGCTTTGTAGGCTTCCTGTGGGGATAAGCAATAAAAAACTCTAGTGTTCTTAATGTTAAGAATGCAAGTTTCTCTAAAGAGTCAAATGTTGTGGATATCAAATCAGCAATTTGGATCATGTACTTGGACCCACCCTATTAAAGTAATGTGGTAACCATATTCATACATTGTATACATGTTTATACACAAATAAACAATTTGATGGATTGATGTTCTACAAGATAAATGGTTTAATATAAGGAGACTCCCATTCTCACATACCTGCCACAACTCCATCTGTATAGCACTGTCGAGTTGGAACAACCTGGTCTCCAAGTTCAGTTGCTGCGTCTCAGGCTTGGAGATGCTCACATTGCCAGTTTGCACCTGTTGATATATCCAATAGTAATGACAAAAAGGAAGATCAAATAGACTGAATATTAAAAAAACAATTAAGTTACAAAACATACCGTAGGTTTGCAAATATCTTCAAGATGCTTCCTGAGCTTGTCACATAGCTTTCGGAACTCCGTTTTGCGGGAGTACTTTAGACAGAACTGGAAGGCCATTCGCGCTATGTCATGGTACAGAGTCTCAACATGTGCGTTTGTACGCAGTAGCTCCAAGCATTGGCAGTATGATTCCCACAAAAATTTTACCTAAAAGAAAATTTAAGATTTTATTTAATACTATTATTCTATTCTATAATACTATGAAGTACTGACCATTGTGCTGCATGCTAAAATAAAAAAATTCAAATAAGAAAAATCACAATGTAACTTACCCATGGCGTAAGAATAGTTCTATCAGAACGATCTTGGGCATCTTCCCCAGACACGGCGCTAAGCAATATACTTTCTGGGGTAGCCAGATTGTCTAAATCATCAGTGTCAATGACTGCCTGTGTAGATTGTGCACGAGCAGCTTCTGTGCGCTCTTCAGCCATGCGTAGGTAGCCTCTGTTGATAATTTCATTTAATAACAATATTCATATGTTTTACTTATTAATGTCTTAAATGAACAGACTATATTTTTATCCTTAGCAGTGCTGGTCCCAGAGGCGTGCTATTGATACCAAGGCATAGGGCACAGAATTGACCAAACCACTTTAGAACAGATTATGAGGCGTTTATGAAAATACAAGTAACAACCTGATAGTGCTGTGCCCGACAGGGTCCATAATTGTTATCTACTTTTAAGCCTACCACCTGAATGTACATTATGGAATGCAATAAATTGAAATTGAAATTGAAACACTGCGCATTATTATTACCAGTTAAAGTCAAGAAAGAATATAAAGTTTATCTGCATACTATCCGTGAGCCGTAACTTGTCTGAAATGCGACTTCTACTGTCACTTCCCTTCGAGCGCCCTGGTTGTACTGTACGCAACGCCATTTTTTTTTTACTCTCACTTAAATTTTATTTCTATTTTTGTGTAAGTTTCTTGTTAGAATTTTTTATTATTCATTCATTTTTCATTCATACCTTGTTGATTTAATGCTATTAAAACTCCGCTATACTTTACTTTAGATAAATTATTTTAGAAATTTGTCACCTTAATAGATTAAATATTGAACATAATTGTAGAAGTGTCTATTCATTGATAATGTATTCCCTAGTAGTCTTGATACATATTTAACTTTTTAGCCACTTTAGAATTATAATATTCACCTAATCCTTCAGAAATAGATACACATATACATTATACAATTAGTTACAATTATGAATTAAATAAATTGAATTTTGTTACTACTTGTTCGTAGCCTAATAAATTCACGCAAACAATATATAAAATGTTTTTAGGCTCAGTATAATAAGAAAAGATTATATTATAGTGTCGTTGTTTTGATTGATTTTGAATTTTTACATTTAAAAAATAGCTAGAAGTTGCATGAGGAAGCTTGTAGTACTACTTTTTGAGCACTCTGTACAAACATGTGTCTGTGACGTCACTGTGTTTAGGTCATAAGTTATGGCGCTTGGATAGTACAATAACATTAAGTCCAGGTTACATGTAAGAAACAGCCTAGAAGGGTCTACAATATACTCTTCTAGTCTGTTTGGATTTTGATGAGGTAATGAGAAAATTTTCCTAGAGTACAAATTGTTAAAACCCCATTATTAAATTGACTTAAAATTAAATTAAATTGACTTTAAATTGTGTTCTTACATAAAAATGTTGTTTATGATTTCTAGTGACACAGGTTTTCTTGAGAAATAATTTGACTTGCCAATATTTACATTCAATAATCATAAATAGTATCTGGGCATTTTTAGTATGACTATCATTTAATTGAAAAAAAAAACTTACCTGATAACTTGCTCCAGTGAACCTACATTCACAGATTGGAACATATTCCTGTATTGGAACAAGCCCTCCTTTGCGATATGGGACTTGCGCAAGTCCACACATAGTTCCAAATACTTGAACATGATTGGTTCTAGCACTGATTCTGACCAGTTGTAAGCCCATTTTTTGTTACGGAAAACTTCTTGCAAGGTATCTAAAGCTCTTGCAGGCTTCTCCAAATCCATAAACTCTGTATGACAATTAAGTATAATTAGAATTAAAGAAGAAAAGGAATAATCAGAACTTAGATTACTTATAGGTTAGGTTACATATGGATTGGTGTTGGTTGTAGGCTCTGATTTCCGCATTTCGACTCGAGAGTGATCCTTAATGCATCAAGAAAAGGTTGGCTAGGTGAGCCAACTAATCTCCTTCAGAACCGCAGAAGCCTCCTGACGTGGACTGACGGCGGATGGAGCCAACATATGCTAGAGTGGAGACTGCAATTAGGCGAACATAGCACGAGTACTGCATCACAATACTGGACCAAAGACTTGAGGAAAATGGGTGTCAGTGGATGGATGCGGACTGCAGATGGACGTTCTTGGGGGAGGACTTCGTTCAGCAGTGGATGGCATTAGTGAAATATATAATAATAGTCTGACATTGATTTATGATCTGAGGACTGGTGTTGCCATTGGTAGAGTTCAGTTACGGCCAATTACAATACTAAACACTGTCACGATGATGATCTATGCCAAAAAAAAACACATACTACACATCAGAGCCTATAATTTACCAAAGTTTGGTAAGCCTACATTTATAAAAGATTTCTAGCAAGTTTGGCATGTTGTAAACAAAGATACCAATTGGAACACATCCAGTCTCATTTTGTAGATATTTTTAGTATCTACAACTTTCTTTTAAAACATTTGTTTGTAAAAACTAAGTTTTTGCAACTTTAACAGCAAATTACAAAATAATATCACTAACTCAGCTGTTGCATTTTAGTTATATGTCGAAATATCTCAGTTGACATTTTTTTCAAACATCTATCTATTCGACTCCTTTTCCTGGTGTAATTGTCTGGGCCAAATCAATTGAAGACTTGTAAGAACAGATGTGAATAACTGTAGCGAAACTAAACATAACTCCTTAAAGGATTAGTTTGATTTTCAATATTTTACCAAGTTGAAAATCCATGTTGTATTTCCTCAATTAGCCCTACTTTTCTTCTATTAAAACACATTCAATTTATTTGTTACATGGTGCACGATAGGAGAGAAGCAGTGGACTGCAGATGATGTTAATGTACATTACATTTCTAACAGCCTATATCTTATAAAAATACAACCCCTTATAGGGAAACCAATTTCTCAAATATTGTGAACCACCTCATGACGATTAAAACAGTGTGATGCTGCATCAAAGATTCTTTTGACAATTTTTAACATATTTTCAGACTTAACAGGTTATATTATAGTAAGGAGATTACGCAAAAAGCCCGATTTGAAGCATAGTTGATTACAACTAACATTGATTACACACTCTTGATCGATATAAATCTGATTAGATCAAGATCGAAGAAGAAAGTTAACTATGGCATCATTGGCGTAAATTGGGGATTATGGGGGACATAGTAATGTCATTCACACATGCAACGTGGTATTATACTAATTCCATACGTACCATTGGCCCGTTTGAGGGCATTCTCCGGTCTCTGACCGTATCGCGCCATATTGTACACTACACTTTTCACTTCATCAACACGAATTTGGCGTCAAAACTGTGATGTTGAAGAATTAAATCGAAATAATTCTTCATACACCGGCCTACGAAGACTAAATGGCTGGAGTGCTGGACAGAAGAAATCAAAATGGCTGACTGAGGGTTGAGCAGTGTTGCCAACAACTAAATTAACGCTCTCCCAGATTCATCAACATACAAATAAAAGCACTAGAAAACTACTCACGAAAAACCACTCGGCCACGGATATAGATAGTTTTAAAACTTTGTGTTTACAAAACAAAACCATGGTGGCCTAGCATAGTATACCTCATTGGAAGTTTTCTAGAAAAATAATGACAATGAATAATAATAAAACTTGAATAAACCAGTTTTTAAATTTGGGAACTAGATGTTTGGAAACTACTGCATATCTACTTCATGGTCAAATTTTCCTTGGCAATCTACTGCGTGAGTAAACACTAGAACTCGACGTTAAAAGTGCTATCAATGGTAAATCAGAAGAATTTTATAAAGATAAAATTTGTCTTTTACTGCATTTAATTTGATTATATAAATGAGAGGATAACTTGATATAACCCACAGAACAGTGAATAAACTAGAAATGCGATGTAGACAGGGCAGGCGCACCGGAGTTACGACAAGCAAGCGTGCATGAATCTCTGAATGAAAATATTCGTACTACTTTCGCCGGGAACGCAGCTCCATAAAAAATTATCGCTATGCCGAGTTGCGCGATAATTTTTACTGTAAATATGATAAAATGACGTTTCATCCATGGCGTGTTAGGTTTATCCTTAAATCCTTAGGATTTATCTATCTGTATTGAGATTCACAGTTGCCAGTGTTAAATAAGTGTGTAATAGTTATTAAGTTTTTAATTATTTTACGCTGTTATTATTAAAAATAACATTTAAAAAATAAATATTATTTTATTGATTCTATTCATTCATACTAAGGCAAAACATTTATTTCTGTTAAAAGACACCGTTCCTATGGTCATGTAAACAATAAAAAAAAAAAAACTATTCTCTTCGAAAAAAAAACGATTTTTAAATCAATTCTAAACGCAACCTGATGAATCGATCCATAAAAAATCAAGCTCAGCATTTAATTTTGTAAATGTAATTTTTTTAAGTATTGCGCGTACACTGCGTATGACACTAATATTATTAATCTGAAGAGTTTGATTAATTTATTATTTGGTTTAATGCGTTAATCTGAGGAGCCACTAGTTCTTTTAGTGAAAAATTCTTTTAGTGCTGGACAGCCCATTTATCGAGAAAGGCCATATACTGTAAAACATCACACTGCGACCAATAGGAGCCGAGTATCACCATAAAATTTGCAAAAACTGAGAAAAGTTTTTTCTTCTGAGAGATACAGCTAGTTATTAAGATCAGGGCATTCTTTAGTTCAGCGAAGTTAATAATTAGAATTCTCTTTACGAGTATAACCATACCAAAGTATCAGGCAGGCTTAGACATTTGTTTTCTTTTTTCAGAAAGTTTAGAATTTTTTTACGAAGTATAATTTATTTATTTATTTATTTATTTATTTAATACTTAGGTTCTTCACAGCTGACAGTATATATTTTACATAATAATAGTCGAACAATACGCCAATTACGAAGTACACAATTAATTGAAGGTAAATAGACAGCAAGAGTAAACAATTCTGTATGAATATACCTAAAACAGTGCATCTCAAATATAGCTACACAGATAGCAATAATATATGTGGAGTGGTGTGTGTAAGTGAATGAAATGTTCTTGTACGCTTAGATTTTTGACTACTAACGGATTTTGTTTTGATGCGGTTTTCATCGATACAGAGCGTGCGTGGCACTCAGCCGGTATGAGAGGGTTCCGTGATGCCTCTCGAGATAATCCTCAATAACGGGTCTTACCGATAACGGCGTGCCCGGCGCTCGGTTGACCAAGTCGTTAATTCCAATCCTCTACGAGGACCAGGAAGAGTTCGGTGTTTTTAAATAATTAGCTTGTATCAAATGTAGTGGAGCGTTGTACTTTCTCCCATAATCTTATTAATAAATTTTGAAATATGAAATGTCCAGCACTAGAAGAATTTTTCACGAAAAGAACTAGTGGTTCCTCGGATTAACGTATTAAACCAAATAACAAATTAATCAAGCAAAAATCTTTCGGCTGAGTTGATGATAATGATAATGATGTGTTAATTCAGGGAGTCGGCTCCCTCCAACTCAACTCTTTGTGAGTTTCGCGATCGACTATGACGTCATTTTTTTTAATTTATGTTTGACCCGGAAGAGTAAGCACTTTTACTTTTTACACATCGAAATTTATTATAGTTTCTTTAGTGTCGTATGTGCTATTTATTTGACCGAAGCTGCGAAATACCAACAAGTCTACTAGCTGGATTATTGATGTACACTTTAAATTTAACGTAACCCCAAAGAAAATAGTCTAAAGGTGTTAAATCACACGATCTTGGTGGCCAACTGATCGGTCTATTTCTCGAAATTAACGACTCACCAAACTTTCCATGCAATAATTCCATGTTCACTCGAGTAATGTGAGGTGGTGTACCGTCTTGTTGAAAATAAAGGTCGTCTGCATCAATATCATCAAATTCCGGAAAGAAATATTCGGTTCACATCAATAGCCTTTAATATTCCACTGCTGAACATAGGCCTCTCCTTAGAAAGGAGGTTTTGGCCTACTATACCACGCTGGCCAGACGGGTTGGTATAGGGTTTGTGTCAAATTTTCCTTCTCTCTGCAGTGCTGTTGTCCTGCGTGGTTTGCTCCCTTAGTCGCCTCTTACGGCACCCACGGGATGAATAGGGGTGGTGACACTCTGTATTCTTAATCCGTCACCACACGGACCCGGACCCGTCACCACACGGAATATTCGGTTAACATCGAGTTATAGCGCTCGCCATTCACAGTAACAGGGTTTCCTTCGTTACTTTCAAAGAAGTACGGACCAATGATTCCACTGTACCATAAGCCGCACCAAACTGTTATTTTTTGCTGATGCAATGGTGATTCATGAACCACACGTGGATTTGACAATAGCGACAATTTTGTTTATTAACAAATCCATTGAGCCAGAAATGGGCCTCATCTGAGAAGATGATTTTACGATGAAAATCGTCATCGACTTCCATCATTTCCAGTGCATAATCGGCAAATTCACGACGGATACAATGGTCGGATGGCTTCAACTCTTGTGCCAAAACAATTTTGTATGGGTGTAGGCCCAAATCCAACCGCAAAATACGCCAGGTGGTCATTGGAGAGAGCCCCAACTCTTGTGAACAGCGTTGAACTGATCGATTTGAATTCGCATCAACACTGGCCTGAACGGCTGCGATATTCTCTTCACGATGGGCATTTCTTTGTCTTAAAGGCACAGCAGTATCGTGGAGAGCGAATTCACTTTCAAATTTTGTTATTATGCGATTTATAGTGCGCACAGAAGGAGCACTATGACGACCGTTTTTTGCGCGAAGCGCTCTTACTGTAGCGGTAGGAGAACGCGAATTTGCGTAATAATTTTGGACAATTTCCAAGCGTTGGTTTAAAGTGAAACGTGACATGATAAAATGGTGAACTTTACTGAACACAAATGTCAAGAGACGTCAAAGATCCATCATCAAACATGGCCGCTATGAGCTGTCAAAACCAGGTCATCCCTATTGGTAGACCCAGTACTTACAAGTTTTTGCGAAAATCGAAATTTGGCCATATATTTTTATCGTGTTGACTCAGGACCTTGATTTTTATACACCTATTAGGGACCTTGATTTTTATACACCTATTAGGGACCTTGATTTTTATACACCTATTAGGGACCATAGAATTCAGTATCTGGTATAAATTTCAACTTGCTAGGTCTACCCGTCCCTGAGAAAATCGGTGGTGACACACGGACGGACGGACAAGAAAGTGATCTTATAAGGGTTTCGTTTTTTACCTTTTGAGGTACGGAACCATAAAAGAGTGTCAAGCCCATTGAAGTAATATTACTAGCGTACATTATAAATTTAACTCAATGGTCAAGCCGAAGTCTAAAGACAGATCATCCTTACAGAGAATTTGAGTTTAGACTAGACTTGCAACGAATAGTATATTCGGCAGTATACCGAATACCGAATATTCGGCGAGGCCCCTGACCGAATAGCCGAATATTAGGCAAAAGTATTCGGCTGGATTTTAGCTCCAAAAATTTGCTCTGCGCGGTATATTGCTAACGCACTGCATGTTTCGACAAGTTCATTTCGTGGATATCGTATTACGTTAAGTACAGTTTATTGTGCTCTCTTATTTTTGATCTGTTTGTAAGTGTGATAGTGTGAAATTTAACAAATAAACAATTAAATAATTACGAACGTACTTTAATAATAAAAAAAACGATTATGGCCTTTAAAAAAAAATCGCCTATATGGGCATACTTCGAGGATGATGTAAATGATCCAAAAAGTGCCGTGTGTAAACTGTGCGAAATAAAAATTTCTCGTGGTGGCGTTGGAAGAAAGGCGACAACATCGGGAATGTTAAATCATTTAAAAAATAAACACAATGAAGACTATCATAAGTTGGTACCCACGTTCCCTAAGAAGGCAAGGCAAGAAACTACAAATCAAGATACGAATGTAAGTAATAAACCTTCAACGTCAAAAAACAATTAACTCTTGAAAAATGTGCAGAAATTAATAAACTATGGGATATTAATGACCCCAAGGCAAAAAATTACCATGTGTTAATTGCTAAAATGATCGCACTTGATAATGAGGCAGTAAATATAGTGGAAAGGGCTGGTTTTAGAAGACTGATTAATAGCGCTTTGCCGCGATACAATATACCAAGTCGTCCTTACTTTTCAGACAATGTGATTCCAGAAATTTATCGTAAAGTGGTTGAGAAAATTAAAAGTTTACTTTCAGAGATAGATTATATTTCCGTAACGACCGACATGTGGACGTGCTTGCATAATCATAACAGTTTTTTAAGTTTTACTGCACATTTTATTGACCGCCAATTCAACCTCAAACATGTAGTATTGAGCATCAAGCATTTTGAGGGACAACACACAGCAACGAATATAGCTATGAGTTTACAAGAAATTGCAAATTTGTTGGACATCCGTGAAAAAATTCATATTGTTATTCATGATAATGGACGAAACATAGTAAAAGCTGTTAGTGATGCAGAGTTGGCCTCAGCACATTGTTTCATTCATACTATTCAATTGATTGTCAATGATTGTCTAAAGGTTCAGTTAGATGTGACTCAAATGATAGCTACAGGTAGAAAAATCGTAACTCATTTTAATCATTCTGGTACTGCACAAGAAAAACTGCATTATGTCCAAAAAGATTTGGGTCTCCCTCAACATGAATTAGTCCAAGATGTTAGCACGCGTTGTAACTCTACATATTATATGCTCGAAAGGCTAATGCAACAAAAACGAGCCATTTCTGTCTATCTGACGGACTGTCATATTGCCAATTTGACTGCTGCACAATGGGAGCTTTTGTAGCATCTTTTAAAATTATTGCAACCATTTGAGGAGATAACAAAACTTATAAGTTCCGGCTACGCTTGCATTTCTGAAATTATTCCGTATGTTGCTACCTTAATGCGATATTACAATAATATGAGCACGTCAAAAGAGCTAACACCCAAATTAAGCCAGGCAATACTCGTCATACAACAAGGGTTACAAGAACGATTTGAAGACATTACAACGAGTAAAAATCATTTGGTTGCTACCTTTCTCGATCCAAGATTTAAAATGAATGTTGTCACCAATCAACTGCAAAAAGAAAAAGTGAAGCAGTATGTATTAATCGATAGCATAAAAATGAGCTGTGAAGAAACAAGCGACGATAGCGCGAGTTCGTCCCCTACTTTGGCCAAGAGGATGAGAACTGAAGAGCAAAGTCTAAATCAGACTATTCACTCAACTTTTATGGATTGCTTCGAAGAGCTGATAGCAGAAAAAAGCACAGCTTCTGGAAACACATCAACAGAAAAAAATGCAGTTTCAACAGAAATGGTTCTTTTCTTAAATATTAGTAATATATCACGTCATGACAACCCGTATACATGGTGGCAAGCAAGGAAATTTGAATTTCCGTGTTTGATTAAGATTGCAGCAAAATATTTGTTGGCGCCAGGAAGTAGTGTTTATTCAGAGCGCCTTTTCTCTGAAGTTGGGATGGTCTACGAGAAAAAAGAAGTAAACTACTTCCTAAAAATGCAGAAAAGTTGGTCTTTCAGCCCCATAACCTTCCCCTTCTAAATTTTGATTATGAAAATAATTCAAATGCATAGAAAAATTCTTAACTTGTTAAATACAGAAAATGATTAAATTATGTACCTGTTTTATGTACCAATGACTACTTAATAAATGATTATAAAAGAAATGAGAACCTTACCCTTCTAAATTTTGATTACCACAATAATTCAAATACATAGAATCCTCCATTTTTCCAATTCAGAAGATGATTATGTACCTGTGTTATGCACCAATGACTACTTAAATGATTATAACAGAAATGAAAATATGAATATATACGTAATCAATCGATTTTAATGTTTCATTTTACCAATTATTTCTCTATGACAAAATATATTATTTAAGTATTCGGTATTCGGCCGAATAATATGTAGATATTCGGTATTCGGCCGAATATAATAAAAGCAGCCGAATAGGCCGAATACCGAATAGTAACCGAATATTCGTTGCAAGTCTAGTTTAGACAGTTCTTGGGCCACTGTGACTTGGAAGACATAGGAAAAACACGTTAGATGTTAAGAATTTATTTATTACTGTAGCTCAAAACGAAGTAATTAAGAAGTGACTTTATAACTTAGAACTTAACTAAAAATAACTTACGAAAAATATACTTATCATGACCACCCAGATCAATAAAAATGGGTCTGTTTCACAGTTAAAAAAAAAACAAAGTAAACGTTTTATTGTCTTTTGCATAAAAGGTTTGAAAACTTTATAAAACTAATTTTAACCTCCATGCAGGGTTATAAATTAAAAACTTTTTAATTTATCTTGCTTGTCGACTCGCTAACTTTGTCGACGCGGCAGACTGCTGGCGCCCTCTAGATTTAATGAGAACCTTTCCGTTTCCAGTGAATTATAGTTATGGTACCTAAACATATACGCATGACTAAAACATCAATAACCCCATAAACTTCTGGATCGGTAGTTCCACCAAAACTGTAATGGGGATTGCTAAAATGTAGGTAATGACGATTGTTGCTGTCCAATCCACTGTCTGAAATCAAGAGAAAACTTATATTAGGTAAATTGATTTTTTAATATTAAGTACGAAGTCAATGTCATTTTATGTCTGCCTGTCTGTATCTAAGTATTTAAAGAAAGATAAACGAAAACAAAGATAATTCCCCAAATCTTGCAAGGGCAGTTGCAAGCCTTGAGTGAGTTAAAGTAACCTTTTATTAAATAAATAATTGACTGATAGAATACTTATATACTTTTCTTTGTTAATACATACGTATTATAAATATTTGCAGATCATACAAACATCCCTGATGGAGGATGTTTGAATGAACCCGTGAATCGAACCCGAGACCTCAGTACAGCAGTCGCATACGCTATCACTGCACCACCGAGGCAGTCACCATTCACGGTTCATTTTATTAAACCCAAATCTACTACTCTTCTTTATATTATGTTTAGTTTTTTTAATGGTCTCATAGGACTTTAAAACACGCCCAATTTAGTCCTTCTGTTCTTCTCCTACCACAATTGTGATAGGAGGAAAACTGAATTTGTAGGAACCTGTGAAAATTGTGTTATACAGAATAAGCCAATTAGCCATCACAGAACAGACAATAAGGTTATTCTATGCATTAGATATTCTAGGTTCTGTGGTAGCCATAGTTCCGATTTAGCCACGACCGAAATTATCCCTGTCGAACTACTTTAATACGATATGATACTTACCACATCCAAAAATGAGGTTCTATATGCAACAGGCCTAGCTGCAATGATCATGTTGACGCACCAATGTAGTATTAAAACCGTTAAGGACATACGTGCCATTGCATTCCAACCGCTCCAGCCGAATAACTTCTTTAATGGACCTGTTTGAACAAGGTTAATTACTATTACATTTTAAAAAGTCAATAAACTGAAAATGCTTAAACACTTACAAGACTTCGATAAACTTACCATTAACGTGGATCAGTCCAAGAAGAAAAATGCACGTAATTAAACAGTAACATGACGTGTCGAGAGCTGCATGTGCGGCAATGAATATTGTTGTGTTATATTTACGGGTGAATATACCCTTCAAGGCCCAGAGAAAAATGAAAGGAAAAGCCGTATAGTGAAGATACACAAACCACTGCAAAATAAAAGTAGTTTTAACGATATATGTGTAGAATAGCCACATAATCCCACCATAATCCTTACTATTACTTTAAATGCAAAAGTGACTCTGTCTGTCTGTTACACTTTCAGGGCTAAGCAGCTGAACCGATTTTAATGAAATTTGGCAAAGAGATAAGTTACTATTTACGATTGTTGCTGTCCAATCCACTGTCTGAAATCAGAGCCCCGCTGCCCCTGTGTTCGAAGTGTGCGGCGCACACAGGCGCCAAGACAATAGGGGCGCTGCCGCCAAGGAAATTATTTTTGTTACACTTACACAACAACATATTCTTTGTAGTGGAGTATCGATAAGTAAGTAGGTAGGTACAATAGGCGCAACATATGCCTTGTTAATAACAAAACATATATTGCGCGTATTGTACAAGTCAATATTCACGTTTGTGGTACATGGTTTTACCATTAATTACGAGCTCAGCGTTAAAATAAATAAAACCGTCGTGAGTTTGTTTGAATGAGTTTATGAACGCAAGCGGGGTGGGGTCACAATCATCAAAACAATCATTTAATCGTAGGTGTGTGGAAGGTGCGCATTGATTTTTATAATAAGAATAAGTTCTAGCACTAAAAACAATATATAGTTTGTGTGTTACTGATTGTTTTAACGTGTTTTCACGATGAGTGATGGTAATCAAGATAAAAACAAGAAATTATCTGGTTACCAGACTTTAATCAAGAAAAAAAAAGAAGAACGTGATAAAAATACAACTAAAAAAGTTACGGCTCTACCATTTACTTCCAAAGAATAATTAGAGACAGAAACCAGTCATTTTATCCATGCAGGTGTTATAAAATCTGATTCAAAAAACGCTTCATGTAGTGGTATGTAATTTTCCATACAAATAAATTTTAAACTTTAGTCTGTTTGTAATGTTAAAATAAAATAAAACATTTTTAATTTAGGTATGTCTGTCTTTTTCTTAATCTTCGAAACGCCTGCACCGATATTGAGGTGGCGGTTAGATGACGTGACTGTTTTATTTTATACAAGTAATCGCTGCCGGAGGTCGTTAGTTCGATTCCCGAAAAAAATTAACAGTGTTTATGTATATGTAAACTGTATTTATGTATATGGTTCCCTCGAGCTTTTATACAAGTAAAAACAATTAATAAACATGCATGAAAGAATTAAAAACATACAGCCGAAGTGGTTTGTGGAAAGTGTGTATGTGTTCTGTCAGTTAGTTATCTAATTATGGAATCTAATCTATGGTCATAAGTAGTAATAGGAAAAACTTACTTTGTATTCAGATAATTTGATACGTTTTTCATCTAATTCGAACTGTAAGTGAGCCAGCATGAGTCCTAAAATGCACGACGGAATAGCAGCCCATGAGGACATATAGAAATTCACGAATGATTCTGAATCACGGAATATTCTCCGAACTTGTCTGTGAATGTAATTAATAAAGCCAGTTAGAGTAACAATAATGCACAATCATCTAAGCAATCTTTTCTTTAGTACCTATAGATGCTTTGACTCTTCAATTTTCTTCAAATAATGAATGGGATTTTGATTTTTACAATATGTATTCGTATATAATTATAATCTCCTAAATTATGATACGTATAGATATTATTATCGGTATTCAATGCTTAGTGATACTTCGACAATATCTGATTCTTGTAGGGTGCTGCATAAGCAGTATTGCTGTATAAGCAGTAAAATTCGTCTCTTAATTTTTCATCCTCATATGTTAACTGCTCATCACATTTTATAGATTATTGGTTTGCCCGAAGCAGGGATGGTAACCCGTCAGGAGTTATTCTGGTATTTGACGTGACAGTCATATTAAAGTTTTATGTCGCATAACGATTAGTTCCGGTCATCGGACCCAAGGTTGGGTAATCCTAATCCTATACAAATCTCCTCTATTGGCCTTATTACATTGTTTTACTTCAATAAATTGTACTTTTCGAGAGTAAATATACAAATGTTCTATTACTATATTTTCACCATTTTAAATTCCCAAGTTGCTTTTGGTTCCCATGATAAGATCCTGACCTGATTACAATTCAAATCAGAATATTGCCATTGAAAGCGGCTTGCTTTTAAATTTTCATGTAAAAATTCATACCAGAGGTATTTATTTATTTACAACTTTATGCACTTGTGTACATCGGCGGACTTAATGCCCTGGGCTTTCTTTATCAGCTAACCTTTGGGTGCTGTAGAAATTTGTATTTAAATTCGGACTCGGTACTACTCATCATACTTCTGCAGTCGGCTTAAAATAAGTCTTTGTTTTAATAGTCAATGTACATCATCATCATTTCAGCCGAAAGCCGTCTACTGCTGGACATAGGCCTCACCCAAGGTTAGGTAATCCTAATCACTATACAAATGCCCTCTATTTTATATAACAAGGGATTTATATAGCTTTAGCAATCCAAAATCGGATAATAGTGCCAAAACAGCGTGAGTTCAATACTAGAGACTTTTAGAGTTTAATATCTTACTCTGGCGTAGAAAGATAAATCATAGACTTGTATTCCATGATGTAGGTGACAACTCCCGTCAGTGTGCATGAGGCGAGGAAAATGATGGTGTACAGTTTTATTGCCTTGGATCTATGACGCCACATGATCAGTGTAAATATGCAAGCTACTAGGTACATGTGCATGTCCACTGCTAAGAACCTATTAAAAAAAATCGCATATAATAATGTTTACATATAGTTGTAATCACAGTTGATCTTGATCAGTTTTAAAGTGCAATTCGTTAGTCAGTAGATTGAAGAGCTGCACAAAAGCCTTTTTCTGCAGTTCTGTCTGTCAGTAAACTGGCAAAGCTGATTGAACTAATATTTAAAACAATGAAATAGTCTCTTTGTATGCAAATTATTTTCATAACTTCTAATCTATCAGTCATCTTTTCATCATTCCTTCTCTCCAGAGAAGAACGAGCAAAACACCGTGGGCGACATTCGTTCGTTTTGCTTTGAGATTTAAATCAAAATTTTTAAATTTATTATTTTATTGTTTTGATTTATTATTTATAAGTAATGGGTTAAGTAATAAAAAAACTTACCATGTCGGTACCAAACAGTAATTACCTCGGTCAACTAAATTGTTGACAAAGAATACATGGGCCCAGAACTTAGTTTGGCAAGCTTTACTCTCTAAACCAATCGTCGTAGAGACTAGAGGACTATTGCGTATGTGAAGCCACCAAGTTGCTCCGAAACAAACTAATAACAGATTCACTGGTGCAATCCTGTAAATGTTAAAATGAAACAGATTTTAAATTTTTGCAAGTCTGTACTGATCGAGGGTTGGGGATGCTACGGCAAGATTCATAAGTTTGATAGGCTGGCTATGAGCATAACCATCGCTCAAAGGAATATTTGTTGTGTAAAAACGACTGATATTATACATACATACGTTCATATTCTGTACTCACGCCTGATTCCCGTCTGGTAGGCAAAGATGATAGAATTCCGTCTACCACGACACTAACATACAACTCGCGCTCAATTGTGAGACTTTTGAGAACTGTATAATTCCGCAACGTACTCGTATGTATAGGTTCATTTAACAAGTGCTTTCCAGTCGGTGCCTTAAAGTAGTTAATACCGTCAGAGTGCGCTAATAAAAAAGAAGTACAAGTACGCCTTCGAAAGTAGATGAACTAACAACAAACAATTATTGAATGCAACGACCAAATTAAAATACGATAACATGAAAGACAACTCACGCATATATCCTGTGTCGCGGGGGACTTTACAAAAATACATGCAACGGACACAAAGAACACCCAGACTCCAACAACAATTTATGGATCACACAAAGTATCATTCCATAGCGTAGTAAGAAGCGGCGTGGCGACCGCTTGAACTACTAAGCCATCCGCCAATCTTTAAAATGTGTCTGAAAATTAATCTTTAATCTAACATACCTTATAATTCGTTTAATAATGCATAGTGGCAGCATAGAGAGGTTGAGCTGTTGTTTCTTGGAGAAAATTAGAAGATTGTAGCAAACCAGGAAACAGGATATCGTCACAAGAGCTTGAATCGAACAGGAGCCATCAGACAGGAATATGCCACGCTTCTTTTCAGTTAGCTAGAGAACATTGTTAAGACTTAAAAGTATAGCAGTTATTTCAGTTTATATTTTGAATATAAAAGTCAGGGACGTTAGGGAATTTAAGCAATCCTTTCCATTCTTTACACATTGAGACTCCTCCGTGCCTCGGTTACGGAGCACGTTAAGCTGTCTGTCCGAGTTTCCACATAAACATCTGTGGAAATCGTCACGGGTAGTTGGAGTCCTAAAAAGTCCGACAACCGTCTTTCTACGATGACTTGCACTGATAATCTTGTGCAAAGCATATAGGACGGTTAGCAGTGAGGCTTTGTAGATCTCGAGGTGCAGAGACGTGCAGCCAAGTACATGTATGTTTTTCGAAACAGTAGTCCGATGTCTATAATGACCTCACAGACGAATGGCAACAACGCTGGGACGAATCATCTAAGGGGCGCCACCTTTACCAGTTCTTTCCATCTGTTCGCGATCGGTTGTTGAGGACATGGCTTGAGGTGGATCACTGTGGCGCTCAATTTCTTACAGGTCATGGTAACTTTCACCGGTGGACTAGACGGGGACCCATGGGGGGGCCCCTACCAAATGGTATTGGATAAGCTCAAACCATGAGTCCCTCCGTTGACAGACACCTTGGACCCGGAGTTCCTGGGAAGAGTGGTAGACACGCTCTTCAAAAGGGTCCAGGGTAGTCCCTCGGTTCCTCCGTCACAATCGGACCGGCAACTCTGGTCCGACGAGTGTAAGGTGACGGAGGGAGATCTTGACCGAGCCGTGCGGCGGTTGGCTTCCCGCAATATGTTCCGGGTCGGGCGCTGGTGATAGCTCTATCGGTGCTGGGCGACAAACTGAGGCAGATTTTCACGGATTGTCTCGGCCTCGGTGTCTTCCTCCTCGGCTGGAAAGAAGCGAGACTGGTGCTTTTGAAAAATTAAGGAAGGACTGTAGCCTCTCCAGAAGGTGCCACTTCGGTGTGGCCGGTTTAGTGGATAAACCAGTTCTCCGGGAGTCCCACACACTTCCTCCGTTTCCCCAACGGAGGATATGATGCGAAAAGCAGTCCCCGCTTTAAAAAAAAAGGTCATGGTAACTTTAAGAGTAAGCTGTATTCATTTAAATTAGTTGAGTCGCCATTGTGTCAATGCTAACTCTAACTGTAAACAGTTTGCTCATCATATCCTCTGGGAATGTAGTCTTTGGTATAATGAACGTTATATAGTGCTGAATAGCTTGCAGGTGACATCTGCGGCGGTATACTATGGGGATCTTGTGTCAACTAGGGTGAATTTTCGTGCGTTTGTAGAAACCAAATATGGCTCACTTAGGACCCATAATATTTGGTGGCCGTGGTGCTTCCCTGTTTAAAAGGGTGTATACCTATTTTACTTCATTTTGTCTCCCGCGTTGCTAAGGAGGGAAGTGGATTTACTGTATTTCCAACTTCTCCAATTTATCGGTATATATAAGGTCGTGGTATCGCCCCGGTTGAGTCGGCCCCGAAGCATAATTCTGATGCTTCCCCACGGTTGGGAGATATTAGTTGTAAGACTATATCTTGGTTTAAAGAAAGAGCGATTCTGTCAGCAACTGACGAACAAGTAGATAAGGTAATTAACGTTATTCTTTCAAAGATTGATGCGCCGCCGCAAATATACGTACTACTCGGTCGAAAGGTACTGGTTCTCGATTTGGAAGAACCTGTTCATTTTCCTACAGAATTTTTTAATTCTTTGAGCCCGTCTGGACTTCATCCTCATAAAATGGTGTTGAAAGTAGGTTGTCCTGTTATTTTATTAATAAATCTGAATCCACCTAAACTTTATAAAGGAACGCGTTTGCTGGTAAAATCACTAAAAACTTTCACAATAGAGTGCACAATACTCACTGGATGTGGTACCGGAGAAGATGTATTGATTCCCCGAATACCTTTGATACCATCGGATTAACCGTTCTAATTTAAACGCCTACAATTTCTGGTAAAGATATCTGTTGCAATGACCATTAATAAATCGCAGGGTCAAACTTTCAACGTTGCACGCTTAGATTTGAGCGTTGATTGTTTCTCACATGGCCAATTATATGCCGCTCTTTGACGAGTAACATCTAAAGAAAACATATTTGTATTGTCTAATAACAAAAAATATGTGAACGTTGTTACGTATATGTATACACATTCTGTAGTATATTTAGTATCAGCATTGCACTCGTGCGAAGCCGGGGCGGGTCGCTAGTCTCTGATAAAAATAATTTTGATTGATTTTAATGTAATTTACCTTTGTCTATGACGAAATCAATATCTATATATTATTATGTCTGCCCAGTATATCTATGTAGTATAACATCTTGCAACTGACTACAATTTAAATCAATTTATCTCATTATACACCTGCAACACAAAAATCTCTGCATCACCCCAAGGTTGACTGGAAGAAAATGCCTATGGCATTAAGTCCGCCTTATGCAATGTATTTGCAGGAAGTATAAATAAATAAAAAAATCAGGTGCGAGGCGAACTCGTGCGCCGAGGGTTCCGTACCTACCCAGATTTTACGTAGATTTTCGCGAAAATATGTAAGTACCAAAATTTATCTTAATTTTCAACTTTTTTTTAATTTTTGGAATATACCTTTATTTGTGTTGTAAGACGTTTCTTTTTGCCAAATTTCGTGATTTTAGGTCAACGGCAACTACCATATAGGTTTTCGACCCAAAACATATAGGGTACTTCCGGTTGACCTATAATTGTCAGTTTTGGTTAAAAGCAAGGTCTTACAGCACAAGTAAAGAGAAAATTCTGAAAAATAAAAAAAGTTGAAAATTAAGGTAAATTTTGGTACTTACAAGTTTTCGCTAAAATCGAAATTTGACCATATCTTATTATCGTGTTGACTTATTACCTTGACTTTAGACCTCAGTATCTGGTATAAATTTCAACTTGCTAGGTCTACCCGTTCCTGAGAAAATCGGTGATGACACACGGACAGACAGACAGACGGACAATAAAGTGATCTTGTAAGGGTTCCTTTTTTACGTTTTGAGTTACGAAACCCTAAAAATCACTATGACATGCTAAATCGCTGTGACTAAAACCAATAATTTCATCAAATAAATATGATTTAGAAGCAGTTATAATTTCCATGTCTACCCCACCCCCATTTTCATTACAAACAATGTTAGAAGATAGTTTTTATTGAGTTTCAAAGTATAACTGTCTAAAAAACCTTGAACATTTTTTTCTCATTGATTATGCGCTTAAAGTTAGTAATAAATTGACTTTCTACCTTTTCTAGTTCTTCTGAATTGATCGTGTAGAAACTAAAATGTAAGACGTGACTGTGAGCAAGCATTGTTAAAAGCATGGACAGCACTCTGAAAAAAAAAATGGATCTTGCTATTTAAGTCAGTTATCTTTTAGATACATGGCAAACAGTCGGCAGGTACTAAAGTTAGTATTAAGAAAAAGGTTTAATTTTCGTTTAGCTTAATAAGGTTTCTAGTAAAGTAATACAAAACAATTAACTGTAATACCTGACTCCGTTCAGAGGCGTAAGAGCAGTGAGCCGAGGATCTTCTCCTTCGTATATTACTGTCAATCTTCTCCAATTCGATGGTATTGAAAATGAGGTTATAAGCTTATTTTCTGTATAAAACAGACAATGAGTTTCTTTACTGTTGTTTTATTTGTCATTGCACTATGTAAGCATATAATTAACGGAATTCACTTTACGTAATAATACATGTAATCACCTTGAATATTAAATTTAGTAAATACTTAACAATAACATAAAAGTATTTCTCACAACATTGTATTATAAATTAAAAAAAAGAACTACTTATAGTAAGCCAAAACCTTCTTTCTAAGGAGAGGCCCACGTCCAGCAGTGGACTAGTAAACACTGTTGCTGATGATAATGAAAGTACTTACTATTAGGGGTATCTTTGGTCCACAGATCATATGCAGTTCCAATTATATTAATAGCAATAATAGCATAAATGCACTGTAAAAAGGTATTTTGGGCTGGAGTCTTGGGTTTTATAGCATGCTTGTCGGTGTGATTATGACAATAGTGGAGGGTGTTGATTGAAGCACGAAGCGAGCGGCTTCGAGCATATTTGTCCACACAACGTTCAAAGTGTTCTGAAGCATTTCTAGTAACATAGTTTGGACAACGGGTGCTCACGCAGTAGCCACGATGGATGCGTGTTCGGTTAAAATGTCGGTGAAATTCATCGGAGTATTCCTGGTTAATAGAATAAAGAGTTTACTGAGAGTATGGTCCTATTTATCAATCACGGATCAGTCGCACTGATTATGATGACATTCGTCTTTCCTCAATTACCTTTTGAATACTTAACACCCCTTATTTGAAGTTTGAAGAGTTTTACTGTACAAAATCTTCCACCTACTTAAATATGAAAAAAATGAAGTTTTGTATGAACTAATTGCATAGGTACTATTCTAAGGGTTCGGGTCTTTCTTCTCCCATCTTTATTTTTCCAGAAAAATTACCCTTACGTTACTTATTACGGATTAACATTTTCATCCTGTCGTCGTCATTACATAAGATAATTCTCGACAAGTTTCTACAGAAGTCAGAAGTCATTATAGGTATATTATAGGTAACTACTGACTGATGATAAAGAATATGCCTAAGTTACATACCTTCAAAAGATCGTAGCCAGGATTAGGCTGAACAGCCGGCAACAAGTTGAATACCCCGAGGCAATAAAGCCCATCTCTCCTGGCTAAACATCGATCATAGTCGTCGAGATGAAAAAGCTTCGGGAAACTGGATAATTCCTCATCTACATAGAAAGGCGTTCTGGTTAGGTTACATATAGGCTGCTTTTTGCGTGACCTGTTTTAGGGCTGGTTGTTTTACTTTAGCTGTGTTTATCTCACGAACTCCGTCTATAGTTATTAACCCTTTTTATAAACCCACCCAATTAGGTATGTTTACGTTTTATGCTTAGGAATTTGTTACTTAAAAATTGCTCACTACTTCAATAAGTATATATTTTTAAACTACGCCACTATGTGCTCTTCAAATCCACATCGCTGATTTCTAGTTATACTTTTCTGCAAACTACTATCACTTTCTACCATATCTATTTGCCCCTATTATATATCATAAACTTAAAGTTATATCGCACTTGAGGTACGAGGTGTTTTCAGGTAATATCATAAATTGTTTTATTTCACGGGTTTGGAGAGTTCCAGTTTCGAGTGAGCATTTCAAACTTTGAAATTATGTTTTATTTGCCAATTACTCGTATGTTTTTGCGATAATAAATGGGGTAAGGTATTGTACAAGAAATGTTAAATTCAACATAAATGACTAACATCCTAAAAATCATATTATTACCTACCTATAGTAAGTATTCCATTGAACCTGTTCAAGGTTTTTAAAACTATATTACGTATTTTGACTTTTCTGTGGAAACAAGTCAAAACATTTCAGACTTGGTTCCATAACTTTTAAGTTTTTATCTCAGAAAATCATCATCATTTATTTGTGAAGAAACGATCTTAACAGTTTTATACTACTACTTACTAGAAAATTAAAAGTTTCTTGGGAAATCCTAGATTACAGCCTTCGATATTTCAATATTTAAAACAAGTAGTTTATTGCTAAAAAAAACGTATTTAAATAAGAAGAAAATGTAATACCTGTAAATTCTTTAGCCGTTGCTGTAACAGCTGTAAGTAACAACCAAAATAAACTATTCATGACCACTACTCACGCAAAACAGGTGTGTATCGTAATAAACATAAAACGTTTAATGAGAATATAGTTAAACAAAGATACAAAACGTGATGGTCGTCAAATGAATAATTAATTTAAGTAGATACGTTTTCAAGTAATTAATTAGACCTTAGATGTAACCATTGTTATAGTTTCGAGTTCCGTAGACCGCATTTGCTTCCAAAACTTATTTTATGTATAGAATAGGTAGATATTCATTACAGTAGGAGAGCTATATTTCAGCACGTATGTAAAGACTAAGTTGGACTGATACGATTAATACCACGGTCTCACAGTAATTTGAAGGCTCCATAATGATTTGGGATGGCGTTAACTCAAATACACTCAATAACGCGATAAATGCAACTCGGTAGCGTCGTGGAGATCTTTGAAGAAAATGTGTGCCTTCTGGAGGGTTTACTGGACATGACCAATTTATTTCAATGCATGATAATGAATGTACACACGTCGCCAATATCGTGAAGTGAACCTTCAAGAGGTAGGTATTCAAAAATTGTAGTGCACAGCTCGCAGCCCGGATTTAAATTTGATTAAATAAATTTGGAGAAACTTTAAAAGAATCATCAAGCCTTCATTAATTACTACTACCTAGGTGAGACAATCCGAATCGTGAAATAAGATCAAAAACATTATAAAGGTTAGAGAAGGAGACATGAGTCAACGAAAATCGAACAGTTTATAAATCCTATTGCCTAAAACTCCAGTAGTTAATTTTGTCAAAATGTATTATTTATGAACAAGCAACAATGGTCAGATACGTTAATAGGGTATTTAAAGATCAGAAAACCCTACTCTAAATTTGTAGGCTGAATTTAGAAAAAATCTCAAGTTATCACAAAATACTTTTCGCCAAGCCAAGTTTCCGTGCCGATGAGAACTATTCAGGATCTGAATGAAGCACTTTCTTAACTGTTGTTAAATTTTCTGAGCACGCTGTCTCAACAGTCAGCTTGGTTGGAAAATCATTAGTTAAGTTAAATTTACTCTTTGGAACTGGTTGTACCACCGACTCAGTGCGAGATAGAAGATATTGCTTTCTTATAAGAAAAAAATTAATTTAAATATACTGGCCTAATCATCAGAACCCAAACCTCTATAAATGACCTCTGTAAATGATTGACAAAGCGCGACGCTTTTAATTAACGCAATTAATAAATATTCATTATTTTTAATGCGTCAGAGTGACGCATTAAAAAATTAAAAATTTTAAAATGCATTTTGACTCAGCCGTTGTTCTATAATTGATGATGTACGAAATGTATAGGCATAATAAATGCTTAACAAAAGAGTTGTTAACATAACTTGAGATCGCCTTGCGGTCGAAGTGAGGCCAGAGCTGATAGTCTAAGATTCTACCGCTGTATTATGCATTTACCTAACTGTTTTTTCAATGAAACTTAATTTTAAATAATGATCGTTGCAGCTCATTTTTATAGGCAACCTGGAAGTAATGTATTGCATACTTATTAATCATTTGACTGGCCTGTTTGTCGAGTGGTTTGTAACCCTGATTGCAACGCCAGAGGTCTTGGATACCGAATTCCCACCCAGGACAAATTATATTGTGATAAGCACGGTCATTTGTTCCGTGATCCAGACACAGAACTTATGTAAAGATACTTAATGTATTTAGAAATATATAAACATGTTAATCAGCAATCTGGTTACTATAGTACAGGCTCTACCTAGTTTGGGATCAGACGGCCCTATGTGAGATGTGTGAAAATTTAAATTATATTATTATATTATGATTCATTTAAGTTCCATTTAAAAAACAGATACTTGCAGAATCGTGCAGTGGTATCTCGGATTATGAGGTAAGCAAAACCGTGATACTCTACGGAATGTTACGGAACGCGATATTATTTCAAATACTTCAGAGATAATTTACAAATTGATGGACTTATACAACACCTAGTTTTTATTTCAGTGACCTGTACTTGAACAGGTACAGGTACCTAATGATCCTGATATATCTGCGCTGCGCTATACATTTTTTTTAAAGGCTGCAATTTTTTTAGCAAATGCCTATAGATATACCTAGAGTTGCAAAAGCATATAATTTGTTTTGAAATATTACAATTTAAACTTCTTCAAAAGTATTGAATATATGTACGTAGTTAAAGTGCAGGGCAGCATAGGTTTTACTAGTGCCAAAGGACAAAATTAATATAAAGGACATCATTCAAAATGTACCCAAAAATTAAAGTGCCGGTCAGTAAAAAAAAAACTGTGTCATCTTACGGCAAATGATCTTTTAAACATTTTTTATTATTACAACAAACGTCTACGACCAACTTTTAGACCCAAAATGGATCTCCGAAAATCATAAAATGAGTAATATCAATTAACTATTTCTGAATTATTAAAAACCTAAACAATGAAACCTAAAGAAACTGACAACGGCGATGGTGTTTTTAATTGGTTTTTTAGACAAGGTGTTGTATTTATTTTGGATCGCGGCTTCAGAGATGCCATATCACCAATGGAGTCACTGGGATATTCTGCACATATGCCTGAAGCCAAGCTCCGAAATGAAACCCAGCTGACAACGATGCAAGCAAATAAAACTCGCCTTGTAACTATCTGTCGGTGGGTTGTGGAGGTAGTTAATGGGAAACAAAACAACAACAAACGGGATTTTAGATTTTTGAGACATGTCAATATAAATCGTGCTCTTCCTCACATGTTTGATTGTTTTAAGATAGCGGCTGCTATAATTAATGCATACCATATACTAATAAATCACAATATTTATGCCCAATCCTTTTTGGCCATTATAAACCATAGAATTTCAATCCCTAACACGCTGGCTGATATAGTTGTAAGGCATAATTATAATAGAAGACGAGCACAATTTTAGCCGATGTCCGCCGATATGCCCGAGTTCTATGATTTTCCAAGGCTCTCAAGAAAAGGATTTAATATTATGTAGTTTGGGTATTTATCAAATAAAACAAGCTAAAAGCTATTACGGCGAGCACATCAATCCAAATGGTGTTTTTACGGTCGAGCTTGGCGACAGACTTTTAACAGAACACGTCAGTCTGACGAGAATTGGGAGAAAACATAATAATTATAAGAGGAAGAGTACAATCTCGGCATGTTCGGGCCAGAGTATATTATGTTTACATTGGCATCGACACATCATTGAGTGGCCGCGATGCCATACCGTATTATTATTGCTCATGCAATGTTGGCAAAATACCGGTGGGCTGCTGTTCCCACACTATGTGCATAGTGTGGTACATGACGTTCGCGAGGCACCAACAACCTCCCATAAATCCACCTGCATTAGGTTTAGAAAATGTTATCGTAAGACCTGCGGAATTATAACATATGAATAAAGCCACGTAGGTAACGAAATGAAGTCTTTTTCTTTACATATATTTTATAACACTAATACCTACACATAAATACCTACGTAGGTACTTAGGTACCTAATGATGATTGTATATAATTAGGCTTTTTGTCATATTATATTATTATTAAGCGAGATTAAGTTATTTTTTATAATCATTATTTGATTTTTGCTATAGTAATGAAGTAAAAATTGTTCAGACGAACTCGTATAAATATTAATATAATATAATAATAATAATTCCTTTATTGCAGGTACAAGGTCCCATATTTGTTGCAAAAATTCATAGAACAACGAAAAATAATAATAATACAGAGATGATAATAGATACAACTTTTCTTTCAAATAATAATTAAAATCATAACAATATTCCATTACCAAGCAGATATAAATATAATTAAATACTTAAAATCTAAACACAAATCATTTAAATTTAATTTAAAACTTAAAATAAAATATAAATAATTAAGATCGGGTAAAAATAAATAAAATAACAATTAAAAAAAAAAAGACCTTAAATAGAACAACCTGTCTTGTTATCAATTAAACTCGAAAATAAATAATTGTAATGAATTGTATCTACCTATTTACGGTTTCGACTCCGATGGACGCTGCTCCAGTGCTTTAAAATTGGGCAACCCATGTCCCCACTGACAACTCTCATTAGGCTATTCCCCGTACTCCTTAGCCTCGCCCAGAACGATGCAATGCGCACCCGAACCACTGCAAAGAAATCAGGCACCCCGCTTCGGCAAACATATTTGAAGCGCTACAGTATCTCGGATACTTCATGAGTACTCTATAGGCATCATTGTACTGTATCCTAAGAGCACTCATAGAGGATTTTTTAAATCGGGTCCACAGTTGACACGTATAAAAACTTAAACAGTAGGCGTTAAAAAGGGATTTCCTGACCTCAACACTGCTACGCGCAAACTTCCTTGCAACCATGTTGCACCTCACCGAGAGTGCCCTTCTCTCTCTCTCAATGTCCGCGTCGTCCGAGAGTCTGTCATTGAGAACATGGCCCAGATACTTGACAGTCTGAACAACCCGCACTGGCAAACAATTCAGTTTAACTTCTGGGACCATCTCGGGACCCTTACCTGTCTTAAACACTAGCATTTCCGTTTTGGATGCGTTGTATATCATGCCGTGAGAATTGGCGTATCGTTCGCATATCTGTATCAGTTTACGCATTCCGTTTATAGAGGGGCAGAGAAGGACCATATCGTCCGCATAGCTTAGGTTATTAAACCACGTACCGCCAATATTGCAGCCGACGCCAGCCCCTCTCAACTCCTCCAAGAGCCCGTTCATGTATATGTTGTATAGGTCCGGCGAAGTTAACCCCCCTTGGCGTACACCACAGTTCAGCCTATAATTATCCGACATTGTATTACCCCATTTCACGCTATTAGATTGGTTTCCGTACCAATATTTGAGAAGATTCACCACATCTTTAGGGACGTCAGAGTTATATAGTTTCCTCCACAATATGTCATAATTTACTCTATCAAATGCACTACTCATGTCAAGAAAGCAAGCATATACTGAGGTGTTGCGATCTGTGTAGTACCTAACCGCGTATTTTAAAGCACATATTGCCATATCTGTCGATAGCCCCGGACGAAAACCAAACTGGGCTTCACTTATCCTTATATTATTTACCAGTGTAGGCCGCAAAAGACGCTCCAATATCTTTCCAATGATTGTACCAAGTGAGATGGGCCTGTAGTTCGAAGCAGAGCTGAGATTCTTTGTTTTGTTCTTAATAATAGGTACGACAATTGTTTGCATCAGTGCTTGCGGTAAATAAGAATAATGAATGCATAAATTAAACAGCGAACACAACTTATAGTGTAATAAATCACCGGCATATATTACATGTTCTATACTCAAATTATCATGCCCTGGAGACTTACCACGTCTCATAGTCTTAGTCACCTGTTTAATATCCGATGGTTGGAATGTAGTCACCACACCATCCCCCCCAATCTCACTGGCACCCTCTCCTATATGAGAATCCACTGGCACTGGCTCAACCCTAAAACGTGCCGAAAACATGTCGGCAATCCGCTTAGGATCTAGCAGACCGTCCACAGATATTGGTGGTTCCTGTTTGTAATTAGATTTCTTTACGTTGTTCCAAAATTTAATAAAATTCTTATCTTTGCAATGAGTGGCTAGTATATCCATTTTTATAGTTTCCTCATTCCTTTGGCACCATTTTAATCTATTTTTAAATAGTTTGCGTGTTTTAATCATATTGTTGTACAACTCACCCCCGGACGGCCTGCCAGATTCCACCCACTTATTGTAGTGAGCCCTCGCGTCCGCATAGCACTGCCGAAACGCATTTTTATTATTGCATTTTAAATGCATTTTTATTATTTCTAAGTCATATAACTCATAAGTAATCGGTCTTAGCTCTTAGCCGTCTAAAGAAAAAAATCTTAGAATGTTATTCTCTACCCGATAAAACCATTTTTTTTTCGTAGGCCGGCACTTTTTTTTTGGGTACTTTTTGTATGAAGCGTGAATGATGCCCTTTGATGAAGAGACAAGTAATGTAAATAGAAACTTAGTGCTTGCGCGCTAGTACGAAAAATTTTCTTGACCAACGTAAACAACGCATTTACATTAAACAACTGAAATAAAGGGAACAAAATAGGACGAGGTGAACAGAAGAATTCGGTTGGATTGGGCAGCGTTTGGTAAGCTACGTCGAGTCTTTTCATTGTCGATCCCACAGTGCCTTAAGACGAAAGTCTTTAATGTGTGCGTGCTACCCGTCATGACATACGGAGCTGAAACGTGGACACTTACGGTACGGCTGGTCCACAAGTTTAAAGTCGCTCAACGTGCTATGGAAAGGGCTATGCTCGGCGTTTCTCTAAGGGATCGCATCAGAAATGAGGTGATCCGGCAGAGAACCAAGGTCACCGACATAGCCTACCGGATCAGCAAGCTAAAGTGGCAGTGGGCTGGCCATATTAGCCGCAGAACCGACCACCGTTGGGGAAAACGAGTTCTTGAGTGGAGACCGCGTCTCGGCAAACGTAGTGTAGGACGCCCACAGGCCAGGTGGAGTGACGATTTGCGCAAGATGGCTGGCAGGAGCTGGATGCGAGAAGCCCGAAATCGATCTAAGTGGCGTGCAATGGGAGAGGCCTATGTCCAGCAGTGAACTGCGATAGGCTGATAATGATAATGATGAACTGAAATAATAAATAATCACCAGGGATTTACCAACAATAGCCAATTAAAGGTAAGTATACATCGAAGTTCTCATTCACATTAAGGTGTCATCAAGAACCAATTAAAATTACAGTCTTTGTGGGTATTTTTATTGCCTTGAGATTTGTTGAGTTGTTTTGGTTTACTTTGTTAAAGTTCATAAAAACGTATAATTAATGTGTAATTCGTATTCAATAGGACGCAAAAAGGTAGCCTGGTGCTTATTTTAAAGTAAGGTGAAATGCTGACAACTTTCATGTATATAACTTGTCTCTGTGCTGACCAGGGCAGCGCCGACCCCGCACAGCGCCTGTGTGCGAAACCTATGAAGCGCCTCTTTTTTTCACGAATCTTCATGGTTTAACTTATGTTTTTTTATTATTTGTTAATTTTGACCGAAATAAATGTTCTCCGGTTTTATATACTTAGATAATATTTTCCTAAATAGGTAAAACCAGTTCGCTTCCGCTTGCCAATTACTGCGAAAAATAAAACACTAATTTAATTTTTACATACTTTACTTATGATGTTATATCTAATTGTATACTTAGATATTAATAACGAAATCGCTGACTTTTCTAATAATACTGATTTAACTATTACGTATGCTATGTTAAAAAAAAAATAACAAGAGTCTAAAATATGTAAGAATATAAACATACTTAAATTATATTATTTCCACTCTTCTCGCTTTTCTGTTTTTCCTGGCTCATTGTTGAGCGCAGGTAATTTTTTATAAGTTTTAATTTAGAAAAGGACCTTTCCGCTCTTGCTACGCTAACTAGCATAGTTAGCAAAATTCGTAATGCTATGGTGATGAGTTATGCTCGCGAAGGAGACGGCGGAGCGGGACCGGGAGAGGTTTTAGGACTTTCCCAGGCCCGGGAACGGGCCAGGTACCGCAGGCGACTCAGGCGCCGGAGGTCGCAGAACGACCTCCGTCCTCCATAAGCGCAGGCCTGGGGGTAACAGGTGAGGCCATCTGTCACCCTAGCAGGAGCACAGGGAACATGGGGTTCCCACACGGGGGGGGGGGGGGGGGGGGTCGTCTACTCGTCTGTAGATGACCCGAGGTATGTCGGGGCACCAGGGACTTCCTTTCTAGGGTATACCTGGTTCCCCGGCTATTAGTACCCGAGACGGCGTGCGGTTTTAGTCGGTTCGAGTCCGACATGCCACCGACAGATGGTATCCGAGGGGATTTCCGCACAAAAAAAGAAAAAAAAAAAGGGCAAATAGCTGTCAAATTGTTTAAATATATAAATTCGAGAATTTTCAACACATCATTATTAAATTTTTTGAAAAGAGACTGATACGACACAATTTCTTCATAAAAATCATCGCCGTTAATATCCAATGAATCATTTGCAGAAAGTTTTTTCTGCAAACGATGACAGCTACTTCTTAATCGACTTAGATCTTGGTCATCACTTAGTTTGAATAAAAAATTAAACACGTCATTTTTATTATTTAATAAATTAAATCGTTCGTCTACGGAGGATAAAGCTTGATCCAAAATATAGAAATTTTAAAATTAACTTTAATTTTAAAAGCGGTCTTCAGATCATTTATAGTATGGTCTTCGTGTTCATAATCAAAACTCTTTGGAGTCTTACGACGTCTTAGGGGTCTGGATCTGGAAGTTTCAACTTCAGCCTCGACATCTAATTTTTCGGCAATTTTCATGGCATCATTTACAATTTCCTCGAAATTTGCGTCGGTTCATGCTCTGCAAAAAACTATTATTTTTTTTAAAAGTGTAATTTTACTGCTTAAAATTAATTTTTAATTTTTTGCAGAAAACTTATATAAATAAATGAATATTTCTCGACAATCAAACGCCGTCTAGTCCCAAGCTGAGCAGAGCTTGTAATGAAATTAATAAAGAAAATGTTTTTTTTTTTATTTTGACATTACAAACAGACTAAAATTATATTTATTTCTATTAAAAATTACAAATTACAATTATAGGAAGTATGTATTTACAAAAAAAAGCATACATGTATTTATTATTTATTTATTTACACATCATGCACATTTGGTGCATTGGCGGATCTAAAGCCTAAGGTATTTTCACCAGTCAACGGATGAGTGATGCAGAGAAAACAGAAGTAGGTGCATTTTAGTTACAGTTTATTTAGACATTTAATATTGTATTTATACTTTGTAAAAAATCATATTAGTTGTCTAGTAGTCATAGTACAAGCTCTGCTTAGTTGGGGACTAGATGGCGTTGTTGTGTGGTAGAATGTTATTATCATTTGTATGAATGAACGCAACTGTTTACAAAACACAATTCTTTACATAAACATGTAATACTAATTTAAGACTTTAAGTTCATTGCTGTTTCGTGACACAAAGTCATTTTTGTAAGTAAAAATTGGTATAATTTTACACATTACATTAAATTGATGGCTTACGTTTTCTATGTGATAAAAACTAGATTTGTTTGAACTAAAATTTTAAAAATTATTCTTCCATATTATTTGATTTTAATGCTAGAAAATTCATGCATGCATGCTGTTCGTTAGATTTCCTTTTAAAATGTTAGGTGGCAACTCTAATATTTTGTGTCATGTGTCAATTTATAAAATAAAATTAAGGAATTTCATGTCTTTCATAAAAATTGCGTATTTTAAAGGTCTATGAAATTGAATTGATAACAAAAACGAGCTCTAAGTTATTAATTTCTGTAACAACTTTAAGATAATTACATTGCAGATAGTAAAAATATCCTTACAAATGCAGGTTTTAACGAACATTCGTCTTTTTCGGAGCCCCTTTACACTGTTTTACATATCTGAAGGCTTCATTATTTTTCCGAATGAGGAGTGCTACAAATCTATAGGTGTAAAGGTAGGGGATTGTTGTGAAATTAGCGTAGACGATAAAATACCGGATGCACAAGTACTAAAGCTGAGGACGAGTGCGTTCTTTCTGCAACTTTTTGTAAAAGAATGCCAGAACTCAAGTACCTACAGAAATAATGTAGTGACACATCTAAATAAACTTAGTGGATACCCTTTGGACGGAACTGCATTTCTAAAATTGATATTGGAGCCACCCGATACTGAAATTATTGACTATGCTTGGTAAGTCTATAACAGATTTAAGTGCTCTATTCACCCTGAGTTATCAGTGACAAGGCTTTCATCTGTTTTTGAAGAGAATTTGGTGTATCTTTTTATTGTTGATACACAGTACAGTACAGTTCCAATATCAACATTTTTTTTTTGTATGTTCTGGTTATCTCTGGTAGCAAGTAAACTGATTACCATAGGATTTTGACTAGGAGGTAGCTAAAGTCTGTGTTTTTTTTTATATAGTGCAGGGTCCCATACCAAATACATATTTATATTATGCAAAGCCACGATAGGGATGGAATTTATGGGCTGCTTTAATTCTGTAAACATTCCTAGATAAATACTAGAGCTAACCACTTGTCCATGTGGTGATGGATTAAGAATATACATTGTCACCACCCCCAATCATCCCGTAGGTGTCGTAAGAGCCAACTAAGGGAGCAAACTACACAGAACAACATCACTACAAAGAGAAGGAAAACTTGACCCAAACCCTTTTTTTTTTTTTAACGTGTGGAAATCACGTCGGACTCGGACCGACTAAAACCACACGGTGTGCCACTCTGCGCCTGTAACAGGAGGGATCCGGGAACAGCTGTTGTTAAGACATCCGGACCCCTCCTAGCGCCAGCCCGCTTCTGGTGCGGGCTCCGTCTCAAAATTCTCCTCTCTTTAGGCGACGTCCGGCACACGCGGACGCCGCCCCCTCGCGGCTGGCCAAACTAATGCGGGTGGAGGGGAAACCCACCCCGTCCACCCGCGGCCACACTCAGGGCGGCATGAGGCGGTGATAGGCGCGCCTCCGCCGCCCGGTTCGCCCGCAGAAGGTTGCGACCGCGGTAAAACAACTGTCGCTACCGGCCATGGCGCTTACTACGGCCGGTAGCGAGAGATCCACTCCGATGGTGGTGGCAGGCGGGACTCAGTTCCCTCCTAGCGACCGAGTGCAGGTACTTTCCGAAGCAACCGTGCCCGGAAAGCACCTGCGTCAGCCGGAAGGTAAGGGTCCCGTGCTGCCGCCCTGCCCACTCGGCGATGACCGGCTGGAGAGCCTCCACGGCGGCGAAGCCAGCGCGTGGAGTCTCCAGCCGGAACGACCAACGAGCCACGAGCCACGAGCTTCGCGCCACTCGCGCACATCCTCGGGCGGAGGGCGAAATCCGCTCTCCGCCCGGGAGTCAGCCACTCGCCGATAAACTTCCGCCTCCAAATCCCACGTGGGAGTTCCGGCCAACGCGCATGCCACCTCCGTCGAAACGGTGCGGTAACCGCGTATGGCTCTGACCGCCATTACCCTCTGAGGGCGCCAGAGGCGTGCCCTATTCTGGGCGGTCAGAGCCGCCGCCCACACCGGTGCACCGTAAAGTGCCATTGACCGGACAACCCCCGTATACAGCCGTCTTGTCGCGACGCTGGGTCCAGAAGTCGAAGGTCCGAAGTCGCCCTAGGGCAGACGCAGCGCCGTCCAGCTTTGGAGAAAGCTGTCGGAAGTGCTCGTCGAAGAGCCACCTCCCGTCCCTCGACGGGCCCAGATATTTCATCTGGGCCCGAACCGGTACGAGGACCGAGTTGACCACGATTGAGGCGCCAGGGGGTGGACCACGACAGGGCCCATGAAATAACAGCGCCTCCGTCTTATCTAGGGCCACCCGTAAGCCCAGCGCCTCAATGCGCCCGACCACCAGGGAGACTCCCCTTGTGGCCAGGCGCGCCGCCTCTTGGAAGTTCGCCCCCCGGGCTGTCACCAGGGTATCGTCCGCGTAACAGATTACACCCAGCCCGGGGGAGAAATCGGCTCGAAGGGCCCAGTCGTACCCTATGTTCCACAAGAGGGGTCCAAGAACAGACCCCTGTGGAACACCGCACGACATGGGCCGACACCTCATGACCCAAACCCTATACCAACCCGTCTGGCCATAGCGTGGCATAGTAGGCTAAAACCTCCTTTCTAAGGAGAGGCCTATGTCCAGCAGTGGACTGTTTAAGGCTGTTGATGATGACATCAATAATTCTAGCCAATCTCAGTATCATTTATGCCTTTAGTTGGTAAAGACACCATCATTGTCAACAATGTCCATTACAGGACATAGGGCCCTCAATGACTTGCAAGAAGACTTGTTGGTAGGTGTCATTCATCTATATAATCAAGGTGTTAGGGAACTGTTTCCAAAAATAGTACTAATTATACTTTTGGTGAAGGGTCAAAAAAAAAGAAAATGATCCTGACTATAAAAAACTGTATTTTGTAACGTTTTATCAGCATTAGTTATTACAATGCATGAAATGTAATGAAAAAAAATCAAAACAGCTGATGGAGCAAGAATAATGTTAACGAAATGGTCTTAAAATATATTTTTTCATTTGGATTGATTTATTTCTGACCCATCATCAAAGGTATCAAAGGCACTAATAGTCTGTCTCCATTTTTGGGAGTGTTTCCCTAACATCATCTTTGTTTATGTGTTTGTAATATATTTAAATACTTTGGTTTCATACAGGAATGAAAGGTTGTTGCGGTTGGTGTGGATGAAGGTAGAAATTGAAAATGCATTTTCTTGGTTATCAACACTTGGAGGAGCATATTCAGCCCTAGGAGACTATTTTGAGGAGTGTGTAAGTTATGAAATATTTATAAAAAAGCTTTAATATACACTTGCAAAGACTAAATATCAAGCTAACAACAAATTAGGGCACTGATATTAATTATTTTATGCAATTAATATAAAATCCTTACACTTCTCATACATGGCCCCCTAATCCCAAACTAGGCTGAGCCTGTAATTCGGGCACCAAACTGCTGATAAACATTCTTAAATATTTTTAAGTATAGATAAATTACCCTCAGGCAAAGAGTAAATGATCATGCTCATTTACCATTATTTATGTATTTTATTTATCTCTTTATTGAACACCACTGCAGTATTATTTGTACAAATATTATAGTTATACATTTCAGTATAACAATATTACTATTATTTTGTCCTGGGTGGGAATGGAAGACACAACCTCTGGTTCAGCAGTCAGGATCACTAACCACTAGGGATGGAATAAAATCACAATCACATGCAAAATCATTATGACTCATTATCATCAACAGCCTTTAATAGTCCACTGCTGGACATAGGCCTCTCCTTAGAAAGAAGGTTTTGGCCTACTATACCACGCTGGCAAGACGGGTTGGTATAGGGTTTGTGTCAAGTTTTCCGTCTATTTGCAGTGCTGGTGTCCTGCGTTGTTTTGCGCCCTTAGTCGGTTCTTACGACACCCACGGGATGAATTGGGGTAGTGACATTCCGTATTCTTAATCCGTCACTACACGGACATTATGACTGAAACTTATCATTTCATCAAATAAATATGATTTAAAGTAACAATAATTTCCATGTCTACTAACCACTAGACCAACTGGCAAAATAAATGTCCACTCTTTTTCTAGCTCAAGAGTTATAGAAAATGTTGTCACTTTTGTGTGTTGATATCTTACAGGCTGAAGAAGCTGGCAGAATATCAATAAGACAGTACAAACTCTCGCAGATGCTGGGAGATGAAAGTTTAGCAGCGAGAAGTTGTCTCTACTCAGCGTTGTCACAGGCTCAAAAGGGCAACCTGCATATATCACGTAACATTGTAAGAAATGTTGCAGAGTTTGCACGTAAAACACACGACAGAAGACTAATGAGGATGTGCCAAGGTGTATGGGCAAAACTCAAATACTTAAGATCCCTTAAGAAGAATTCATCAATAAAACCTACCTAATTACAAGGGAATGTTAATGTGGTGTATTGAATGAGTTATTCTTACAAAATAATCAATTGTTAAACTTAGTAAAATATTTTATTTCTATTTTTATAATTATTTCAATCATAAATAAATAATACCTGATTAATTAGTTGTGGGTTATGAGCAAAGTACCTAAAATGAAAAGCAATTGTACCTATACCGCCAATTGATTAAGAAGCAAATTGCCTACAATGCACTGGGACCATAACCCGTTAATGACTAAGAAGCAGAATGCCTAATTTGTATAGTGACTATAATATTAGTTTAAAAGCAGAATGCCTAAATTATATGGTGACTATAAAGTGGAGATTGATTGATTACAAAGATTTGCATTTTAAGTATTGTGATCAGTAGAAATTAAACTGGCATTGAGTAACTGTCAAACTGTACTGTAAACGGTGTCTTTAAAAACATTAAATTTTGCACAGAATTTTTACCTTTTTTGGAACATTTTTTGACAAATAAGGACAACAGTTTCTAAGGAAAACATAATTTTATGATTATTTTTAATATGCCATATTACTGATTAAATAAGTCATTTATTAATTTGGATACATTGGTTTTATTTTCATTTTGGTGTCTTCAACAAAAATCTTCAATTAAAAAAAAGAAAAAGCAAATAATCATAAAACAACACCTTACTTGATAGTAACGAAATAAGAAAACGGATTGATGACCTCCACATCCTGAATTATTGGTTTGTTTCAATGGGTATGATTTGCCATTTAATTGTTTGTACATGTTTAAGAAATTCCAAGCAATTAAACTTTCTGCTATTGTTCGTTCTTTCAAATGGTCAAGTTATTTTTTGTACTTTGCGTTAAATAAAACGTTACTGTTAAATTATGTTTATTTGCCTTTTTCCAGATCGCCTTTGAGAAGTGATAATAACAACCACTAATGAGCGACCGACACACCTGGAAAGACTATTTGAACAGATTGCATTGGACTTAATTCAAAATCGCACTTAAATTTTTGAATGTTGGTATTTTTGTTTTATAAGTTCAAACAATCTGAAATATGTATCTTGTCACTTATTTAGTACGAGTGCATACACGACAGGCACTATATTTATAGTTTCATCGCTGCTGTCAATATCTATATGAAGGGTGTACATTTGTTGAAATAGCGGTATTCTTTTGAATGTTCCGTCACCAAAGAATTATATTTCCTCTTGCTTCATATTTTTGAGGTGTCGTGTAATAACCGTGGTAAACAGGAAATTTTTGTTGTCTCCTTCACCGTCTAAACATAATAAAAAATCTCTCCCAAGATTTCCTGGTACTTCGTCTCTTATTTTTTTAGTCTTTGACGAGTTTAAAAAGTTTTTCCTAGTCCGCAATTCAGTGGCTTTTAAAAAAATCGGCATTTTATCAGAATCTTTATCAACGAGAGACCCATATTCTGTAAAACCCTTTTCAAAAACATGCTGGACAGGTTTGAAAGGTTTACAGACTTGAGACATATTTATCATTTAAAACTGAAACCTCGTTTTTTTTTTTTAATTTGCTTCACAGGCATGTCTCATCTCTTTCCTTTGTATAACTTGATTCTTTTTATCTTTAACTTTGATAGACGCACTGCATTCTTTACGATGCGAACACCTCCAGAGACTACTAATAACTTGATTGTTTTTGTTAAGTGTATATCTATAACCCGACAATAACAAAGTATGGCCTCCCTTCTTATTTTTAACAAATTGATTTTTTTTCATTTGATGCTGCGTTATTCATATTTAAATTCTAATTATTTTAATTCAAAGTAATAAAATAATGACAACCGTGATCGTGTGGCCAAAGAGGGAAAACCCATACAATGTATTTTCAGCTATAATTAAGGTATAATATTAGGTATTAGGTGTCACTATAGGTATCATAAGTATAAGTTTAAATATACAGTTTGGGTTTGAAAATATCCCATGCCCCATGGCATATGAGAATTATTCAAGTGGTGTATTTAACAAAATGCACTATCAAGTTAAAAATACAAAAGTAGCAGAAATCTGATGAAGCCTTTTGATTACCTGGATAGTTGGCGCTCCACTACTGTGCGCTTTTCGAGACACTTTTTGCCCCGCACAACCAATCTGTGGAACGGGTTATCGTCTGCGGTATTTCCGGATTGTTACGACCATCAAACCTTTAAGAAAAGATCGTACTCCTTCCTAAAAGGCCGGCAACGCGTTTGTGACGTTTGTTTGTGAGTTGCAGACGTTCATGGACGGCGGTGGTCACTGTTCATCAGGTGACCCGTCTGCTCGTCTGTCCCCTCTAATATGAAAAAAAGCCTTACTGTTGGTGCTGAGATTCTCAATTTTGTTTTACATATTCTTCGCAGCCGAAGTCGCGGACACCAGTTACCTACTGTTATAATAACTTATTCCAGCGAATTTGATTGGTTTTGTCAAACAAATCAGATATGCCTTGAGAATAATACATTTTTATCTGGATGGAAGTACCCTTTTTTTCCTGTGCGGAAAACTCCGGATCCCATAGATGAAAGTTTTTTTCCTGTGCGGAAATCCCAGGATCCCATGGATGAAAATACCCTATGTCTTTTTGAGTACCAGTGGCGTGTACGCAAAAATAAATGATCATTTGTTGAGCAGTTAAGGCTTGATAGCTAACAAACAAATTAAATCACATCGCATTTATTCATAATATTAGGTAAGATAGTAATCTTTATTAGGTAAAGTATTGTAAGTGCCTTGGTAACACTGAACATTTTAATTTGTAATCATGTTTACATATTAACATTAAGGTCAACTTCGATAGTATTGACATCAAGGTGATTACAATATTATATATACTTTGCCCACAGTTGCATCAATGCGGTGAAAATATATTATAGGGGACCTAATCACCTACGTGAAAACTCAAGAGCTAGAGAAAATTCGGTGATTTCTACAACACTTCATGCTAGGTAGTTTCCAGACAGGAAAAGAAAAAAAGGTACTTTCCAGAGATTCGCATATTTTTACTTATGATATAGATGAAGTGACCTAAGCATTTCAGTTTGCAAAAACTTTTGCCAGTGTAGGCTCCACTAAAAGCCAGCTTCTCGGTATTGGTCCTAACTATCTAAACAGTCGTGTTCTGTCACGTGTTCCTGGCGAAAACTTGGCGGCTAATGATAAGTTAATGAAGGTTTTAACATTTATAATTTCAGTTTAAAAATCTGTTAACTAGATAAAAAAGGCTAGTTATAGCTCTTTATAATTATTAATCGTTATTGCGGGCAAATGACATAGAAATTGGCACACACGAAAGTCTCGCACTTTACAGTAAATGGTGTATAAATAAAGCACATTATCTTTCTACAAATTAAATATATTGTATTTGAATAGTGAAATTCTTTGCCTCAACAACGCTGTTGAAGCGAATAAACAATTTTTGCTATTTATTACAAAAATAAAGAAATTATAATACATTCTCCTATGTTAATAGCACATCGTTTTGGTAACATATTGAACACAATCTTACAAAACAGGTAAGTACTTAATCATTTAAATATAATATAGTTTTATAATTAGTTTTAAGAACTGTAATTCCTATCTGCAGAAAAGAAACAACTTATATTAGTAACAGTTTAGTAAAATAGCGAATATGAAGGCAACCGATAAAATTGGTGTATTCAAGATAAATCCAGGGAAACAGGTAGTAGACAACAGAGTACTATAAAACAGTTTTAACTACCTTTACTGTTTTACAGAATAAATAATAATTGATTCAAATATTCGTACAAACGTTCAAAAATCTTTACCGATTACTAATTTCGAAATCTTGAAGACATTAGTAAGTAATATGTATGAAAACACAAAACTGTAGGACAAATATTGGGGTTCTGTCTCCCCAGAATTTATATAGAAATATTTGGATAGACCTTATAATTGGTGTGATATTTATAAAGTTCGATAGATAGTTCGATCATGGTCAGAGCTGGATGTATGACCATTACGTCTCATATTTATGTTTAACTATGTACAAAGCAAAAATAAAAAAACAAGTGTTAGTGCAAAAAGTAGTTCTTTAGTTTTGGTACAAACATTGTGACGGTAAATCTAGGAGCAGTGTATACTGGCTGCATACAAAAGCTTTGAGATCGCTAACTATTAAAGTGAACATATTTAATTTTAAACTGATTTCTAGTGAATACAAGCAATAAGGGGTTAGGAGGTACTAATTAAAAAGAAAAAGACACTGAAATGAAATAAGGACAAGTTTCATGAATTATCTTTTGTAATATTAGGCATTTTATACTAGTAGCGTAATTAAATTAATTTGTAAAACTTCCAGGATCAATTTGAATGCCTTTGATTGAGCTTCACGATTTTATGGAAGAATTCAATTTGATATATAAATTACGCAAAATCAGAAATGTTTATGTATAACCGTACGCTTATCACAAAAGCGTCTAATATTGACCAGCTATTCTTATAGCAGACATACGGCGGGAACCGTCGTTTCGATCGTGCCATTGGTAGGATTAGTCGACCCTCGCCTCTCAAACTGCGTCCGCGGCCCGTTGACTTCCAAGTACACTCGAGTGCATTGATTCTATTGTTATTATTGTTGAGTTTATATTTCTATTAAAATTTGTTGTTTATAAAATATATACAGTATGTCACGAACAACACGGTTGTAGCTAATCAATTGTAGTAAATTCTAAGATCAAGAAAATGTATTTCTCAAACCAAAGGCGATTTTCTCCTACATAGCAACCTAAAAAATGGTTATAGAGTTGTACAATTACATTAATAAATATATTTGGGTACTATTTTTTACTCGCAACTCGTACATGCGCTAACTTCCCCCGACTACGTCTCTCAATGTTCAAGTTGTTTGCCGACTTACTAGAAAATTAATTCATAACTACTAACCCCCAAATTCAGAAATGTGGCAACATTCTTTTGTTATAATTTCGTCAATTCTTAGTCATAATTTTGATTAAAAATTGAGAGAGTTTCAGGCAAACCTGATATTCTGTTACATGCATGGATGTTTAAAAATATTTAAAGCCATCATACATGTAATATTAAAGGAGTTCATTTGCCTAATTTGTGTTGTTCATTCGCGTTAAGAACATAGTGACGCATCGATAAGCCCCGGCCCTTGACCAATCAGGTTCCAAGAAATTATCGTTTCTTACGAAAGCTAGATTGATACATCACTAGTTTTTTTAAGTAAATGGACTACAACTTGTTTGGTTATGTGTTCTTATTTACTAAAAGAGACATAGCACCGCTGAAATTAACGAACACAAGGATCTGGTCACTCATACAGGCTACTAAGCTCTAGTGGTGGGGCAAAGGTGGGTTATTCCGTAGAACAAATTGGGCAGGCGAGTGTGCCCATGGGATCCCACGCTGGCAGCACTTTGGGCTCTTGTTTGAATACTTCTAATACTTCTGCTGGGACGTATTTTTTATCCACTACAACCTGTTGATAAACAAAACAATTAAATTTTGCTTTATTTTCGTCTCTTGCTAAGGAGGATTTATTATGTATACAATTCTTCCAAATCCTCCTTTTTTCTGATTAATATCGTAGCGGTACTCGTGTGTTCGTGAGTCACTGTTGTTGAACCTGGTGCAGTAGTGGGCGTGTGGGATAGTTTAATCATAGTATATTGATTGCTCGCTGATAATGTAGCTTTCCATTGATGAAATAATTTTTGGAATCGGTTTAGTAGTTTAGGTTTGAAAGTGTAACAAACAAATAAATTTACTTTCACATTTATAATATAAATGATTGTAACAATGCTTGACTGCACGGATAGCGTAGTGGTTTAAGTGGTCGCCACGCCGCTTCCTACTACGCCGAGTGTTGTGGGTTCAAACCCCACATGGGACAACACTTTGTGTGATCCACAAATTGTTGTTCTGAGTCTGGGTGTTCTTTGTGTCCGTTTCATGTATGTTTGTAAAGTCCCCCGCGACACAGGAATATATATTCTTAATGCGGGCGTTGTCTTTTTAAAAAAGATAAAAAAAAAAACTTGTTGAGTAAGTGTGAGAATCGAACCCATGGATCGTTGGTTAGCAGTCAGGACCATTAAACACTAGACCAACATACTCGTCAGTATTACATACATTTTCATCACCATCAACACCCTTTAATAATCCACTGCTGGACATAGGCCTATCCTTAGAAAGAGGTTTTGGCCTATTATACTACGGTGGCAAGATGGACTGGTATAGGTGTTAGGGTTATCTCGTCGTTAACGGTACCCCGGTAGTTGGCAGTGGTGGTGGTAAATAGTTCACACCAAATCAGTATTCAATTTGAGAAAGAGTTAATTTTATTTGTGAATAAAAGTTAGGCTATGTTCAGTTATTTGAGTCGTACGTTATGTTACAAAATATTGTCACTAGGCACGCTGAATAAAATAATTAAGTACCACTGTACAAAAAGAAACTCAAATAGCTCTATGAGCATTATTGGCTCGTACAATAGGCTTTCTGTCAAGTTTTCCTTCTCTTTGCAGTGCTGCTGTCCTGCGTACAGATTTTATTAACGTTTATTCGATTAACAATATCCTATTTAACCGTGGGAGAGCCATTATAATTATATTAATAAATAAATAAAAAACAAGAACTAAAAAACAAATTAATACAAGTGAAATGTTTATAAGTTAATTTTGAAATGTAATTGTCAACAATAAGTAATAAAAAATATGATTACTACGATTGTTCTGCTAAAATTATATAACACTAACCCTAGTTCTTGCTAAAATAACATAGGTCAAGAACAGTTTTTGAGGTTTTTCATTATTATTATTAATACTGTGAAGGTTATTCGATATTTCATTTTTTACCAATGCAATACTAAATTAAGCAAAAAAGGGTCCGTTTAAACTCGTTTTGCATGAAACAGTTTCGATTGATTCCTGAAAAACTCTGATTGTGTGACTTATGAGGTTTTTGAAATTATCGATTTAATTATTTCGTAGAGTGATGGTTACCAGGCCCAAACCCCTCTCTCCCCCTACCTCTAGGGGGAAGGAATTCAAAGTGGGACAACGCGCTTGTGACTCTTGACTTGCACGTGGCTATGGGCGGCAGTAGTTACTTACCATCAGGTGACATGTCTGCCTGTTTGATCCCTTAAAGTAAAAAAAAGAAAAATTATCTATGTAATTAACAGTTAGATATCTCTTAGTTAACTTACTTCGAAGACGAATTCCCTGAACCAGGGTTCGGTGAGTAGCAGATAGCCTTTGTCGTACTCTTTATCGCTGTACGAGTTTTCTACTCTGAACTTGCGTGGAAAACCTTTCTCCTGTACAAAAATATATCTAGAATTACTATTTTAAAACTATTTTTTAAGAAAATAGTGACACATTGATCCAAACAAGTTCTAAGAACTTATCGTTTCGTACGAAAGCTTGGAGCCTGATTGGTCAGGGGACGGAGCTTGATCTATGCGTCACTATTTTCTTAACGCGAACAGACTATTTAGCAAACAAATTTATATGTTAATATTTTATCTATTACCAGTTGTTACAAGTAGTTACAAACTGGTTAAGAGATATGGCTGGCAGTTGTTATTTATGCCATTCAGAGATACTCTGCTATGGATGTATGAATTGAAACATCTTTGTTTTGAATTTGGCATAACGAAATACATGATACTTGTGTACTTACGTCAGTGCCGACCGCCGTGAAGAGCATCGCATGCGTCATGCAGGAGTCGCCGTACATGAGCCTGTCCGCCTTCTGCAGCCCGATCTGTACCTCCGTATTAAACACCAGCCGGAAGTCATGGCTAAAACAAACATTTGTTCATATAAACGACAGTTTTGAAAGTTTTGAAGGCCCACGTTACGTTAAGGTCTGCTGCGGTTCAAAGATCTTTCTTGCAATATATTTATTGGTCAGGGCAGATCGTGTGATTTTTAAAGTTTCAGTTCGATTCCTGTATCCACATGATAAAAAAAGTCCTTGTGCTTGGGAAATTTTTGCGAATACAGCGGTTCAGCTCAAGTCCTTAGTAATTTTTAAAATTATTCTATTATCAGATTTTATTGTACCTTTAGTTTTAAACATCTCAGACTTTTACACAAAATATAATGGAGAGTAACAATGAAATGAAATTATATTTATTTTTTTAATTACATCTCTTCAGATATTTTTACAAATCGTATTTTACAGGAATACATCAGGTCGTGTTTTACATTTCCTAAGACTCGCTCTGGGAAGAAATGCCGAAACAAAGAACAGAGATGTCTTTTTTAAGTCCGTGTACAATGTTAAAGAGAATTATATGAGTGCAGTATAGATCAAACAATAGCAGATCTACTTGCTTGTGTGTGGCAATTTATTTCTTTCTATATAATTAAATTTAAGCATTTTCAATTACTACAAAACAACTCACGCGTCCAAGTCTTCTAGTCCATTTTTTCTCTCAAATCGTTTGGATACTTCACAGCCAAACCAAACCGCTTCGCCACCCTGAATACTTGCTTTAACCACACTAGGAAAAAAAAAGAAATCTACTTAGTATTTATATCATATTAGAATTCTACATGGGATGACCTATAGCTGCAAAAGAAAGTTATCATCTGCATAAAACATTTCAAGTGAAGCGATCGTTATTGAAGTTTATTCTTTCTTAGAGTGAATTAACATTGTTACAGGCTGATAAAAAGATGTTTATGACACACCACAATCTCTAAACCTCGATTATATTGCCTTTGTATACTTTATTTTTGAAGTGAAAACTGCTTTAGGCATTTTTGAACAATAAACAAAATCATGTATTTTATGGTTTCACAAAAAACAAATTAAATAGTTTTATAAGACTTACTTCATAAGCGTTTCAATGGGCTGGTTGTTATAAGCAGTCTGCCGGCCGCCAACAACGTTACCAAGATAGTGCAAGGTATAGAGCTGACCAAACGGGTTTGATGTTCGGGGGTCCGATACCAGACAAACCTACGGTACAACATAATAACAACATATATAACATGTTAAGAAAATCCTCAGATATGCTATACTAGTTATCCAGGATTATTTTTTTACAACTCCCGCACTAGGAATATATCCTGTGTTGCGCGAGACTTTACAAAAATACATGAAGGGGAAACAAAGAACACAGACTTCGTACAACAAGTTGTGGATAACACACAGTGTTGTCCCAGAACAGTGCAGTAGAAAGCGGTGAGGTGACCGCTTAAACAACTACGCGATCCGTGCAGTCTAAATATTCTTAGAGCCAAGTACTCTTTATACAAACTATAAATAAATATATTTTACTAAAATATGCTGCTTGATATAATGTGTATACTGCTCGCGCTAGTACATGGTCGAGTCGCTGGACCCGCATAGTTCTTTTTGCGAAGCTAATCACCTGCGCAAGTGCCTCAACATGCGCAGGCTACTTGCATCATGTAGAAGCATACTTAGTATCACACTATAATCCATTTGCGTTAAGAAAATAGTGACGCATCGATCAAGCCCCGTCTCTCGACCAATCAGGTTCGAAGCAATTATCGTTTCGTTCCATAGCTTCGAACCTGATTGGTCACATTATGGCCGAGTATTGTCTTAGAAATAGGTGGATGCAGCATTGATTGCGAGGGATATGACTCTATGAACTGTTACTGCCAGCACCATAAGAGCCAATCCAATTAATTTACAGGAATGCTTTCATAAAAGGAGTAATTGTGTCACAATAAATGGAAATTACCATAACATTTAATAATATGAGTAAAAACTACCTTGCTGTCAACATCGAAGATTGGTCGAACGTGGTTGTTGTAGAATTCCTGGGGAGTCAGGGATCCAAATGTATTGTAGCATTTATCCTTGTTGTAATATTCGAAGGTAAACTTTTCTGGTGGGGTTCCTGCAAATGGAAAAAGAAACGTAGGTAATATTTAGGTTCAAGACAATCATTTCTAACTATTTGCACCTAAACCATGTGCTACAGAATCTTTAGGTTTTTTAATTCTTAAGTATACGCAACCTCGACGAATTAAAGAAGGTGTGTTGTATGTCTTGTCGGTTTCTCGTATTTACTAAAAATACAACCTATATAGTAAACAAACGCACAGCTCTGTTCTGATGAAAATCTCCCCCAATTTGAGAGACTATAAAATCATCCGCATTCTGAATCCTATGTGTATCCACTGTGGTAGTCCATTCTAGAAGGTAGGCTTTCTTTTGCCGTCCAGAATTTAAATACTTGAGAAGTTAGGATCTTAACCTAGAGGTTCACTTCCAATCTCCCTAACTAATATACTTCTGTAGAATATAATCTTAAGAATATAATCTATACTAATATTATAAAGTCAGAGAGTGTGTTTGTATGTTTGGTTTAACGCTCTAATCTAAGAAACTACCGATCCGAATATAAAATATATTTTAGTGGTCGGATAGCCAATTTATCGAGGGAGGCTATAAATAACATCACGCTACGACCAATAGGAGCCGAGTATCAATAAAAAATGGTGCAAAAATTGGGAACTCTGGTTCCTTTTAAAAGACGCAGACGAAGTTGCGTGGGTCAACTAGTTTGATATAATTTTATCATATCCGATCTTCATTATACAGTTAGTGAATATAAAAGGTGATGTTCACTTAATTAAATAATAAATAGTTACCTAAGCAAGTGGCGACGATATTGTAGATAACAGCTATTTGTTTGTTGATAGTCGCCTGTATTTCTTGGTCGGATGCGTTTGCAGCCACCTTGTCTCTCAACTCCTTAGCATATTCGCGAAGCTGCAACAGAAAAAAAATGATCAGAAAATAGAAGCAAAGACCTATGACCATGTAAAGACTATTTTTCTAGTTTAAATAAAAAGATTATTAAGAAATAAAATATTTCATCAACCTATTTGTAATCGAACTGTATAGACTTAAGTCTTAATCAGTTCGATTACAAATAGGTAACTCACCGTAACTGGTAAACATCTAATCTATATAGATATAAAAAATATTAAGTTGGTTTGTGTACGCTTCAAAAACTAAAAGTTCTACTCCGATAGAGCTCAAATTTTGAGGGCCCGTTTGCATAGTGATATTTAACCGAGATGTTTTTATTCGCGAGGAAATAAATCCACACCGTATTGCGTTCAATGTGCATCAATACATAGATTTTGTTCGCGTCATTTCTCTCCGCCAGTGCGGATAGTTCTGTATAGATCCTGTGTCATAGAATTTTGCGAAAAAAACGTGCATTGAAATATCGCAGTGCGGAAGGACCCTAACTCGATATACAAATCGCTTAGGGCCCGTCCGTACAGCGATATTTTAACGCAAGGTTTATATTCGCGCGGAAATATATCTATGCCGTATCGCGTTCAATTTGCTTCAAATCACAGATGTTTTTTCTGCCAGTGCGGATAGTCCTATATAGATCCCACGTGTCACAGAATTTTGCGAAAAAAAAGGTGCAGTAGAATGTCGCTGGTCCTTAAAAGATTATTTTTATCTATTTTTTTGCATCAGTTTCGTTCCACATTTCTTATCAATGTAACCACAATGTGCCTACATAGAAATGAACATGTCGTGTGCCTTGATGTAGCTGTGCAGCTTGATGTGATGGCAATCATATAGTAGTTTTTTAAATTTATAAAACAATATATATATATATAATAAACTTAAAAAGGTTAGCTTCTGCTACATATTAAAATTAGGGTACTTCCTTTGCGTATTAATACATAGAAGATTATTTCCGAGAAAATAATTAATTTTCTTGCGAGCTGTTTTACCGTTGCAGAATTGTTGGAACAAAGTTTATAATCCAAGTAATTCCGGAGATGGCCGCTAACCAAAAAAAGAACAAAACCTCTTCGGCTTTATTACATGTCGAGTTGTTTCAACGGAGTTTTAAACATATGTTATTGTTTACCTTTGTTTTAATGAGCGCGTTCATGTGTAAGCTGCGCCTGGAGCTGAACGACTCAGGGTAGCATTTTTTGGGCATCACTCCATATTTGTTTACCAGGTTCACTATCATGTCCCATTGGCCGCCATCGTTGATTGGATCCTGAAATGTGGTGATACATGGTCAATTTTTTCTTTAATTATACCATAAATAAATTAAAGTTTAAAAAACTAAAAACACGAAACAACACAAAATTATTTTCTATAACTTCAAAATTTTATCGTAAATAGCGTGGGGTGCTATACCTCAATTATTGTAAGAATATTTTATTGACAGATATTGGTAAAAGTAAAGTTATTATATTATAAAATACTTGGAAAGCACCCCACGCTTTTAGTTAACGTTATATATGTACTTCCACCTTTAAACGCACTATTTTACATATTATTTTATCATAGTTAATTTTATACTATTACGCTGCATCTTTATTTAGAAATAACTGACAGAACCTCGCAGACTCAACTCCGTTTACTACCTTAAAAAGGGAATAGCATTCCTCAAGAACTGGGATCGTCAGTACAAGGAGTGCGTCAATTCAAGAGTTAATATTTTTTTAATGTAGGTTTTACTTACTTTAAAAATAATGAAATTATCGACATTAGTAGTTACGAGTCAGACCGGCAGTTAGCGACAAAAGTTCAACACCGATTTCTCTCATGCCTCTCAGAGTATTGAAAGTACTATCAGAGATAAGTAGAATCGTTGTAAAATTGTACGGTGCCCACGGGGCCAAATATTTTAAAATATTTTTTTTATTTTGCAAAGAATTTTTGCTTTCTTTCACAATTATCTCACTTATGCCAATATCGTAAAATTATTGTTAAGCACCGACTAAACGAACTAGGCATAAGTGCAGCAAGGGATCTAAGGGTAGATATTCAAGGGTGAAATTGTAAAAAATGTAGGTGATGTTCTCACCGTTGCCAATGCACGGTTTGGAATTATTCAACCTGCACGGCCCATTTTGGCATACCTCACTTTCACATTTATAATATAAGTAGAAGTATGAATATTTTTCAAACTCGCTTTGGAAAAAAGAAATCTAAAGGTTATTTTAACTATTAAAGCATCGTAACATAGTGTAAACGACTAATTAATTATGAAGCTCAGTAATTCAAAGCTATTTCTCACTTATTGGTCGTAAAAATTATAAGTACATAAAATCAACAACAAACCTACAGATAAAGGCAACCTACAGAGATAGTATGGATGTTATGTCTGATGCCAGCCGTATCTCTGCAAATATGACTGACTGCAAATAACATATGTGTACATAACGTTATTTACAGTACACACGTAATAGAACAATGCGCAGTCAAGTAGTTAACTACGAAGTGCATTTTATACATTATTGCACAAACATAGATCACAATTTATACGCCCTGAGAGCTTCCGTGCTATAAATGCATGCATGTGTGCGATATTGAACACTAACTCATTTAATCACTCGCAATATATAATAAAACTATTCTGGGAACTTTTATTTCTAAGTACCTCTACTATTTTTTATTCACTCTAAGGGTTCGCTGGCAAAAAACTCAGGTTTGGGTTAAGCTCGCCGTTATACATGTAATTTCTTTTCACTTATTTATTATTAATGTGTACAATAAAGAATAAATAAAGAATTTAATGCGCATTAAATTCATTTCAAAATATTCACACGTCAAAATGGCCGTTGAATTAGGGAAACCAATGTTAGATTTCTTTGTACCTATACTTATTTTTCACACACGGCAGTCTGATTCCAAACCATACTGCTGATAAACATACTTAAATATTTTTAAAAACATGCATATTTATATAAATAACACCCAGACAGAACAAATGATCGTGCTCATCACACAATTATTTGTCCTGGGTGGGAGTTGAACTCACGACGTTTGGCTTAGCAGTCAGGTTCACTGACAACTCTACACCAACGGGACCGTACAATAGCGTAACACTGCACTAAACTGCCAGACAAAACATTCTTCGAATGACACGTCTGCTTCAAAAGCTTATGACGGACGGTACTGTTTTTGAGCAGTTACAGACGGTATAGTTTACAGAATTATGTTTACGTTTTTGAACTTAAGCTTACCTTCAAAATTTAGACACGTTTCTTTCGGTAATATTTTTAAGTAAACTACCAAAAGTTTAAAAGTTACCTATTCAAGGGCCGGTTTTCAATCCTCAGATACCATTCATTGCAGAGATAGCCTAATTATGGACTTCTCAACGGTCTAGTAAGAGCTAAATAAGCAATTATATTCCTGATAACTTATTACTGGCAAGTTCCTATTATTTAAATTTGCTATGTTAAGCAATATTAAATAATAAGATGTCGAGTAGATACATGCTTAGTTTTCAATGTGATTGATATTTCATCGCCTATTTGGAAACTTAACAAAGCACGTATATTACAGTCATAAATTGGGAAGAAGACTTAGTCTTAGACCTAAATCTTCGTACCAATTATGTTACATTTTAAAATTTTAATTCTTAATGTATAAGTTATAAGCACCTTTAGCAAGAAGTTAACTAGTCTCGACTCCAGTTTTTCTCCTTGTTTGGCCGTGGCTACTATATTATTCAACCAGTAGTGTGAGCGCTCGATTTTGTCCCAGAAAAACAGGTAGCTGTGAGCAAGAATAGATATTAATTCTTATTCTATTTTTATATACATTATTTCAGATACATATACATTTTATGTGAATACAGGCAACATACATAGTTTACAGTCCGTAAAAAAATAGTACTATCTAACACGCTAATGCTGAAATTTTACTTTGAACTAATCGTTTTGCCTCAGCGATTTTTATGTGTTTTTTATTTATAAAAATAATAATTAAATGTTACTGCAAAATGGACTTCTACTTTTAATTAACTAGCGGAACTCTACAGATTACAGCTCTACAGTAAACGCTCGAGCTATATAAGCCGTAGATGGCCCGAGGTACGTCGGGTTACCAGGGCTTTCCTTTCTGTGGTATACCTAGTTCCCTGTCTACTGGTACCTGAAGACGGCGTGCGGTTTTTGGTCGGTTCGAGTCCGATATAATCACCCCCGGGTGGGGGGTATCCGAGGGGAGTACCGCACAGAAAAAAAGGTGTTTGCTTTTCAAAATTCAAACTTTTAACAGTACCTTTGTGAAAATTCAAACTCTTCGATACAATACTTCTTCATGAAGGGCAGCCGCATTGCGTTCAAAGCTGCGAACAGCCAACATCTTCCAGAGTTTTCTTGATTAGTCACCGGTTTAGCTTCTGACTCGATCTGTTTAAGAGTATGTATTATTTTACACCTTAATTAATCTAATGTGATGAGATAGTGGTATAGTATAATGAAATTAACTAAAAAGGAATATACACATCAAATGCATATATAGATTAGAAAAACTAGCAGAATCTTCTTCGAGGCCAATTTGACCTTACCCCAATTTGACCCCGAAACTGGACTTCGCTCGATGTGTCTATGCCTAGGATTCTAATATTGGCTGAGACAGTTAGGGAGGTGCTCACAAACCGAGGTGACACGGCAAATAGTATCTTCTTTGCGGTTAACGCCTGTGTGTTTTTTGAGTTTAAGTGGACTAGATTTAAACGGCCCCAATCTGATACCTCCGCTAAGTAAGTTTCAATGTCAGCCACAACTTTGTTTCGACTCTCGATGACGTTTTGCCCTGCTATCATCGGCACGGGTCTGATCGGGTGCACAAACGCTACCTTCCAGGAGTTCGAGACGACGCCTTGGGAGTAGGAGAGTCGAAAAAAGCGCGTTAAAACCGGTACCAACTCCGGAGCACACGTCTTCAACACGATAGGATTAGGCACTGATTTTTGTGTGAACCGGATTTCCGGCATATAGCTCTGGCAACGCAGTATGGTCGGCGGTTCGTTTCCCTCGTCATCCAAAATCGAGTATGATGCAAAAAGTTTGCCTAAGAGATCGGCTTTTTCCTTGGCATCATAGGCCAACGAATTATCTCCCATCTTCAGGACTGGCTACAGAAATTCCCCTGGACAGCCTTGGCAAGAGACCAGAATGCACGAGTTCCAGAAGGAAGTCTCACCAGTCACTCACTGATCCGGCTGATGTGCTCCGATTTCGCTCTACCAATGGCTCTTGTAAGAGACCTGGAGGCAAAGTTATATTGTTATTTACATCGCCTGCCGTCACTGCATTTGCCCATGCTTGGTAGCATTCCCGCTTTCCGCGGAACGCCCTTTTGTAGGATCTGTTAAACTAGGACTTGAATCTGCCACCGGTGGGAATTAATGTAGAAGGGACGAATAGTTCCATGCCCTGAAGTACTACATCAGTGACAGAATCGGCAATGACGGAGGGATCATCAGGCAGGAAACAAACCTGCCTCCATGCCTGCCTCCAGGACGCAAAGAAGGAACGCATCCTATCCCAGTCCTCTTACCTATAGTGCCATACACGGCTGCAGCCAGCATCTTGCGGTCGCGGGAAGCACGTGAGTGGCACTGTACTTCGGATTAGACAATGATCCGAGGAGCCGTGGTGGGAGAGTGGGACTTCAGCGGCGATTTTGTAACCGTCCGGATTGGAGGTCAGCAGAAGGTCCAACAGTGAAGGCTCATGACTTGCCACATCTGGGACTCGCGTTACATACCAGTTGTGATGAGCCATAAGTCAGGGCGAAATCGTGAACAGATCTCCCCACCTGATCGGTTATGCGTGGGCCAAGCCTTTCGGCGTTGTGAGCGTAAGTATCACGATTTCTGCGGATGGGATCTGCTGCAGAACGGAATCTGTAGCCATTTGGACGTGGTCCATCAGTCGGTCAGGTCATACACGCACACGCCAGCCCTAACAACAAAGGAGTGCGCCCCCCCCCCCATCCCCAGAATACGCGGGACAGCCTAGACATCCATAGACATCTAGACATCATGTGGGGAGGGGGGGTATAGGGGGTTGGGCTCCGGAACACACTCACTCAGTGAAATGCGACAGGGAAATTGCTTGACAACCAGTTTTGCAAATTTTTGTAATAAGTAGTTTATTCCTTCTGAAATTTATCCAAATTATCATCATGATCATCAATAGGCTGTTTTAGTCCACTACTGGACATAGTCCTCTCCTTAGAAAGGAGGTTTTGGCCTACTATGCAATACTGACCAGACAGGTTACTATAGGGTTTGTTTCAGTTTTTCCTTCTCTTTGCAGTACTGCTGTTCTGGGTAGTTTGCTCCCTTAGTCGGCTCTTATGAAAACTTTGTCCAAATGGTTATGGAATTTTCAAGGATCTGCTTAAGAGTTTTTAACTATTACATAAAAGTAATTCAATTTGACTCTTTTTATTTGTAAATATAGGCTGTGCCTAACAGTCGCTTTCCACTGTGGAATATGAAAGGCTGGGATTGACTGTAGTCTTACCTTAATATTGTAAACATGAAGGCTTGTGTCTGCTCTATTTCTGCTAATGGCCACCTCAAAGGGGTCAAATCTTGAACATGCATTTTGTGCCAGTTCATTTTTAGGATCAGAATAATAATCAGTGCGGAACTTCTTTAAAACTTCCAAGCTTAAGGGAACTGCAAAAGAAATGTTACATGTAATACTACTGAAATATTTAAACATTTCTTAATTTACAGATGTTTTAACTTTCTTAAAATTATTGAAGTGAAAATTGGCTTAATATTTTTCACAATAAATAACTATGAAGCTTATATAAGACCTTTCGAATGAATTTCTGGCATTGGTCTAGCGGGTGGTTATATTACTTTTCTGGCATGTACGAAAGTAAAGCTAATGAACTTTTAAATATTCAGTTTGATACATGTTATTTATATTTTTTATGGTGAAAGAGAATGAGTCTAATAATATTTAAAAAAATATTTAATAATAATAAAAACATTAAGATATATTGAAAATGTAAAAAAATCTGAAGTGTATTACTAGAAATTAAGATGGTAATTTAGAGAAGATAATTTGTTTTTAATTAGAAATAGGATCTTAACTGAGGAATCCTATCGATAGATTTATATTCATTTTAAAAATATTATATCAATAAATTAAAAACCTTCCATCTCTTTGAATGTGGTAAATAATTTGAACTGTCTTAAATGTTTTTAACTATAAAAATTAAAGAAAAAACAGAAATTACAGTTTACAATGTCAATAAAATGAAAGTTGAATATCTAGACTCTCAGCACTTCATAGTGACATTTGATAGTTGTACAATCTGGATCAAAAACAGTAGTAGTTGTTCTTGTTAAAAAAACAACTATTATACTATATGTATAAATTATAACATTAATTATTTTATGATTTATTATTATTATATGCGGTATTTATTATAAATATCAGTTTTTTCTTGATAAATAATGCTCATGCATGGCTATAAATAAAAGGTTTTTGTCTCATAATGAAAGATGTGTTACAGAAGGTGCATGAGAAGTTATTAGGATACTACACTCACATCTGTGTTTAATGTTTGTGCTATAGTATTTGTATACTTTTTTGAAGATACAATTGAGTCCTGGTAACTTAGTTATAATATGCATTTCATGGTGAACGAGTTAAAGGACAGAATTACACACAAAAATTTTGAACCATTATATCAAAGTCTAAAAGTTTGACAACATTTTGACATAATGTTTTTTTATTACATCATTAAAAGGTAGTCTTCTTAAGGATTTTTTACAGAAACATTTAATTAAATACTTTTTAATATTTTTGCAGTTTGTTTTTAAATTAATTACTTTTCGTGGTAAACAGTTTTTTGTTTTCTTTTCACTGTGCAGTCATGTAATTCGTTAATTAAATACCATAAAGGTTAGAAGTCATACAAAAGAAATACTTTTTTTTCCTTTTATAAGTACTATTCTATTTTGAGTATAATTTTACAAATTAATCGTCGTAGAAAGTAGGTTATGTGGAGAGTTAAAAATAAATACAGACTACTTACCAGTAGACATGGTTGCAAAATTTATCCGTATATTTTGTTTGCCAGGTAGTGTTAGCCTCGTGAATATCACAGAACTAAATGACTTTAGTAACATTTATTTATGAAACCAACTGCAAAAAGGAACGAGTGATGACAAGGAGAAATTAAACCGATGGCATTTCCACAATAAACATAATAGTCTTTATTCCTTTTCAATAAGAGCCGTGACCAATTCTAGTTTATAATTGGTTAAATATTTGAATAGGAATATATTGCCATCTCTTCCAATTTCATTCATTCCGGTTAAGGTCTAGTTCAAAAGTTCATTCTCCGGGTTATTGACCTTAAAAGCAGCTGATTCCTAGTTATTTGACAACTACAATTTAAGTGTTGTACTTATCTACTTCACAAGTGTACAAAAAGATTATTTTATAATAATTATTATTAATCATTTAAAAACTATTAAGATATGCTCGATAAAATGAGGGAGTGTTAAAAATGAAAATGTAATTATCACGATTTTTTCGCTCTTGGCAATACTTACTCGTAAAGAGTCATAAGCGCGCGGAGTTTTGATTTCTAGCTTTAGATTTTTTTCAAAATAATTTGCCATCGAAGCTTTTAACGTAAAATACCAAAAGTTGACTTGCATGTTTTATGAAAAACTTAAAGGACCCTAAAAAGCCATGTTAAAATGATATTTAATATTATCGAAGTATTTTTAGCCTGTGCGACACAAAATCAATATTTTCACCAATGCAGTACTCCCGTTTCTATTCGGCTCTTGCTCAAACTGTATGGTGTATGCATAGTGTAACATTTTGCTATTACTTTGTTTAAACAGTTAAAATAGTAAGGTTTCACGGTGATTGTATTTTAAACGGTGATTAACATCATGTCATTAAAAGCATATGAAGATGCTTGTACTAGAGCTGAATTGTTTGGCCAGCCTTTGCCTGACAGAGATGATTTTTTATCAAAACATAAACATCTCGACGTTGTGGAATTTGAGGAAGTGGAAATTAAGACAGCCGAGGCAAGGAAAACTTTCATTAGTAATTACGAAAATATGTTTATGACCGACAAATGCATGTCGTTTAACATTCTGCAAAATAGGTCAAGGTTTTTAATTTCGTTTTTGATGTGACCTGATTAAGCTTCTATACAGTATAAATAACTGACTTATAATAATTTTCTTAAATATATGTATTTTAAATACATGAAACACTTCTTTAATGTTAATTAACTCAGCCTTGATGATGCGCCTTTGATACGAACTAGTTCTACTTCAGACAACAAAAATAATAACATATTAAACATTTTTCAGAATACTGCTATGTTGGAAGATCACTTGAGACATGGCACCGGCGGCCTGGCAGAATTAAACACAATTTTGGATTCTACTCAAACAAAAATTAATCGTCTTAAGGTAGGCCAGCAGGTCATTACGTAATTTATTTAGTTATATTTAATTAGTGTATATTTACATTCCGATGTTAAAACTGAATGAATGTCATGTAACATTATAGCTTTTATCATCATCAACAGCCTTTAATAGTCTAATGTTACACATAGGCCTCTCCTTCGAAAGGGGGCTTTACACCACTAGGTATAACATGCTGGCCAGACGGGTTGGAACAGGGTTTGTTTCATGTTTTCCTTTTCTTTATAGTGCTGTTGTCCTGCAGAGTTTGCACCCTTGGTCGGCTCTTACGACAACCAAGGGATGACAGTCTGTACACTTCATCCGTCATCACATGTTATATTAGCTTTAGTCGAGATTAATAACGTCTTCTTTTAAAATCTATGTAATAATTTAATTCTTAATTAAATAGAATGACAAGAGCCATTTCGAGTCAAATAATATCTCTAGATACTTTAAACTGTACTACATTACATTACCGCGTTAATAAAAATAAATATTGTTATGTTGTGTATTTTCATTACAGGGTGTGTGCGGTACAATTACAAACTTCTTTCGCGTTAAACTATCAGCAAAGGACAATTTATCCTACTCAAGCGAACCTAGCTATATTGGACAAACTAATTTTGATAAGGATTACATTCCACCTACTACTGAAATAGGCTCTGTGAATGAGGGTCTTGGCTCCAAAGATAACGAAATGTCAACACGTGCGGGAATATCAAAACAAAATGGCGGCGATATTAATTCGGGTTTAGATGATTTGAAGCAGATGGAAGATCAGGAAAATGCGTCTTTATTGGGTAAGGCAGCTGTTAAAGATATTGGTAAGCAAGTTACATCTCAAATAAGTAAGTTAGATAAATTGATATGTTCAGCGGATAGGGCGCAGACTTCAATGAACAATCAGAACAAGCAAATGAGGTCCCATTTACGATAACTTTGACAAAACTTTAATGTTCGTTTATTTGGTAAAATGTTTGTTAATTTCCTATTGATCTGAATGAATATTTATTAAGGTTATTATTATTTAGGTATATGTTGTGAATTCCCAGCAGATGAAAAACTAAAGTAAATGTTATTTTTAATTTTGTTTAAGTCAGTACTGAGTGCATATTTTGCAACGGGACTAAATTAAATTTATAACTCTCTTGGCTCTGCTGAAATCAGGTAAAGATAAAAAATAAGTTTAAATAAAAACTACAATCTGCCTGTTAAGTTTAAAATCGAATGGACGACACTGAATCAAAGTTTATTAAATTTATTTTGTATTTATTATTAAATATATATTATTTAATTGTCAATCAAAAAAGGAGAAAAAAATAAAGCCGTGTGGTGTCGTGGGACACCCGATAGGAACGAAGTTGTGACGATCGAGTAAAATTATTTAACGATTTTAATTACAACGCCATCTATGAAAGCGGCTATTACCTACATATTTTTCAGTTGGCTTCTAATTAAAACAATTTATACATTGGTAAAATCTCCTTGAGAAATGATGTCGAATACAATATTTTTTGCTCAACCTATGAACATAAATTTTAATTTTACTGAGATGAAAAGTAATGATTTCCTATATATTCGATAGATGGCGCTGAATGACTGACAAGTGACAATTCAAAATAAAAAGTGTCGTTACAACTTTTCGTGAGAATTTTTTCCGTCTAGCCCCCTTTCACAACGCGCGATAAGGAACTTCGTTCCAAAAAATAAACGTCAATCAATGCCCCTTTTTATAGTTGCTTGAATAGCTACTATAGCGTATTTGGCAGGTAGCAAGTGGAGCTAGGAATAATTTGGTGTGATGCCTTCGATCCAAGTGAGCAGCTTCTCATTTCTATGTATTGCATAGAAATGAGTTGTTGATATTAGAAAAAAATACTTAGTCACTAATATTAGTTAAATCACTAATATTATTGTTTTAAAGCTTAAAATTACATCTTCTTTAAGTTTACTTTAATTATACTGATGTAAGTGAGTATATGTTTAGGTAAAGCTTATTAATATTATTTATTTACTTATTTGGTGTATATTGTGACATTCTTTTATATGTACTTTTCTTTTTTTTGTTTATGTATTCGGAATACAATATTATCAATTTTATCCGGTATTTGTAGGTTTAAGTATTAATTTTAATATTTAAATACGGATCCGATGTTGATGACAGTTATGACTATGACAGTTCCGTTGTACAGTACTTAGTGTAATTGTTTTATATAACATTTGACTGAACTTATTTTCATAATAAATGTTTTATGTGTGTATAATATGTGTATAATTGCAAACAAGAGGGGCTTGGGTGATAACTTAAAATAATCAATAGAATTGATGGTTTTAAGACAAGTAAAGTTTTTGAAAGATAAATATAAATGATCAGGGTGACTATCGAGCATAAGCGTAGGCCTGGGGGTGGTCGATGAGGCCATCTGTTAACCTAGCAGAGCCCCAACTTGTACTTGTGACTTAGGTATCTGATTTGTGTTACAGTCACAGAAAAGAATATATAAATTAAAAATATATCAATTTCTCGCTTTAACACTGTTACGTTTAATAACATGTCCATTTTGACCATTTAAAAAAGATTATTACACACTTTACGAGAGTTTACGTGAACCCATCTCTGGAAAAACACTGATAATGTAAAGTGGTAACTCAAGAAACATTTTATTAATAATTAATAACAAGTTTCTATTAAAAAAATCTTTTTATCAAAGAATTATTCCATGTGCTTATTCTTGTCTATAATTAAATTAATTGTCATTGGTAAAATTAAAGTGTATAATCTCAAAAAAATTCAAGGCTACATTTTAAGAAATTGGTGCTTTTTATGTGTGTGATTGAAAAAACATGAATTTTTATTATGTGACAATATGATAATTAGATATGATCTCTGTATTTATTAATAAATGTGTATTATGTGTAAAAATGTAACCCTTTTAAGATAAGTCTTGTCTGATTCTAGAAATTGTAATAAGTGGTACATAATTGTTAATCTCATGACTCACTGTCGAAATCGTGCATTTGAGGAGGCCATTAGATATTGCTTATTGCTATATTATGTTTATAATAGGCAGTTGCCAGTTGCAACTTATCAAGGAATTAATGAATTATTAACTCAATCTGTGATCGCTGTCTCTATGAACTGGTAGAAATTCTGAAATAGATCTAAGAGACAACAAAAAACAACTTATATATTGTGACATGACGGCACCGTCATTTCAAAATATATAAGTTGTTTTACCATCTAAAAGTACTTGATAGTCTGATACTAAATTATAAATCTGTTCTAAAATTGTTAGATTGTGCAAACAATTTGTAAAAAAAAGGTTTGCCTTATTTCTCACCTGAACATGAAAATCTGATATATACCAAGTTTATACTCAATTGACATAAATACCTACTTAATGATATTTCAATTTTGCTAAGACATGTAGGTTCCAATAATACTTCGTGTTGCGATATAATATATGATAAAATAAGTACCTAAAGCATAAAATCATCATCACTACCTTAAAATAAGTGATATTATGCTTAACTAAAAAATCTCTGTAAGGGGGCGTCCATTAATTACGTGAGGGGATTTCGGGTAAAATTGTGGGTATCGTGCACGATTTAGACAAATATTAATATTTACTAGGTATATCCTCTTGTAACCCTTTAGCTTGATCTTCCACAATGTTTGCAAGATTATTAGGTAGTATTTCGATAAGTGTTGGACTCCAAAGGCATTATATATATTTTAATTATTTATAACGATATTGAATAAAGCAAAGCTGTGATTAATGCATTTTTCATTTACTCCAACACAGTTATTCCCTCTATTAATTCTTGTATTACATGTTTAGGTATGTACCTAATATATGTTTAGGTACTACATTTTTTAAAGACATCTCCCACACTAGGAACATTTTATATCCTTTACGATCCTTGGAGACTTTACAAACATATTTAAATGAAACGGACCTAAGAACACCCAGACTCAGAACAAAAATTTTTGGATCACACCTTCGATTAAATTTGATTGAAGGATCACACAAAGTGTTATCCCATGTGGGAATCGAACCCACAACATTCAGTCCAGTTAGAAGCGGCGAGTTGATCGCTTAAACCACTACGCTACTACTATATAAATAACTAGCTGGTGACTTCGTGCGCGCTTAATTTGAAAACCGCTGCCTTCGTGTGGGTTTGATTCCCAGACCTTGAAATTTTATAGGGTTTCCTGAGAGAAAAAATAGCCGAAGTTATTCCTTATATAGACAGCTACCTGGTAGTAAAATATTATCAAAATCGGTCTAGCTGTTTTAAAGATTACCCGGAACAAACAGGCAGACAGACAAAAAATATATTGAACTGGTTTGTAGCCATAGGTACCGTGCAAATACTCGTACCATGTGAGCATCAAACCTATTATTTTGATATTACCAACATACACTTCCTTGACCTTGAAGCCAGATTAGTCAAATGTCTAACCGTATATTTAAAACTATCTTATCTGCCATGTTGTTGGCTTAAAAATGGATAAAAACTATCGCACCTTTAATAATAAACTGAATTAATTCAAAATTTACGTTTTTCGAGTTTTCAACAAATACCAAATCAACTTCATCAGTAGAACACGAACAATCCAACAGCCGACTCGATACCATGAAAATGGCAGAGATAAGAGATCGTCGTTCTCTTTTTGACGAACTCGCACGTACATGAATGTCAAACTTTAAATGCGATTTCCCACAATATTGAAATTCTAAGTTAATTCAGTTTATGAATAAAGGTGCGCTATATGGGCTGGGGTCTCAAATGGGTAAATCCCTGTGGTGTAAATCCCTGTAAACCCTGGGATTTTGCAGTTAAACAAAGCAGACAGCTCTCTTTTGTTTTTCAGACTGAAGTCAAGACATAGCTGTGCTCGGTCGCATGCTTGTGTTTCATATGCCTTATACTATCCTATTAATAAGGGATGGCAATGTGGGAATAAAGTTTGTATGGGATACTAATAATTAATAAAGTTTAGGTCATAATCAAGTTTAGGTTTATTTTTATTCTTTTTATGCAAACTTTATGGTAAAAATGTAATAAAATAAAATCTTGTAAAAAAAAAATTCAGGTACCTCCTACACATAAAGTTTGTTCTTCTCGTCTATCCCATATAGGTATTCCGTTGTAAGGTATCTTGTTGCTTAGGTCAAACTACTGTTTTTAAGTTTAGTGCTAATATTTATTTTAGTTAAGACCCAGACCATTGCAAATTTAGAATCGTTCTACAGAACATTTTAAGATACGTAAAATAGACACTGAGTAGTCGCCAGACGAGACAAGTCATTAAAAACGTTCAAACGTAAAATATACAATGAGTAGGTAAGTAGTTGCCAGAGCATGCTGTGGTATTCTAGGATACTACGAATAAGGCTGTTAATTATTAGTATTTTTGTGTTTTTCTTTTGAAATACTCTGTAGTTTATTAATACAATTAAATGTTAAAACTACTAACTAGTGAGTTCAAGCTCAAGATTAATAAAAGTGACTGATAATCTAAATTACTCCAGCTACATACAACATAGAGCTGATATGTAGGGTCACTAATAGGTTAGTTACATATTATTAAAATAAATTGTAAAGACTGACCTTAAAATTTAAATATGTACTAGCTAGATATATGAAAAACAATATTCGAGACTGTTTTTAAGTTCCTTATTTATTATTATTTTTGTTTTGTTTTTGAGTGTATGAAGTCATAATATTATTAAATCTATCGTCTACTATCTGCTGAGGAAGGTCCAACCTTCCTCTTTTAACTCCACCGGGGGGTAGGAGCATTCCAAGAACGACATCGCACTTATGTCTCTTAACTTGCAGGTGCTCATGCGGTTGCACCAGGGATTTCCTTTCTAATGTACACCTGGTTCCCCGACTACTGGCACCTGAGACAGCGTGCGGTTTTAGTCAATTCGAGTCCGACATTGCCACCGGTAAGTGGTATCCGAGGGGATTGCCGCACAGAAAAAAAAGGTGCTCATGCGGTGGTCACTTACCCTAGGTGACCGGAAATCACAATCACATGTGAAATCGATGTGGTTAAAACCAATCATTTCATCAAATGAATATGATTTAAAAGTAGCAAAAATTTCCACGTCTAATTTGTACAGCTTGTACCGTTTTGACATCTAATAAATGTGACGACTTGATAGTCTAATACCGTACTGTTCTTGAAGATTTTAATAGCAACGGTATCACTTGACTATTCCAAGTGTTGTGTTATGTGCAACTAACGTTTTCTTGTGTGCTTATCCCTAATTGTGTGGCACAGTACTTTCCACTGGGTAAGAAAATATATGAATAAAGTCGAAGCAGAACCATATAAGTACAAGATATGCATTTACATATGTACAACAGTTTACGTCGTTCTCATACCAACCCGAAAATAACCTAGTCAAAATATTTTTCGTACATATCAATGTGAGGACATTTGCGTCAGTAGTAACGTACCAAAATGGTATTTACTCATAAACAAATTACTCTTCTGCGTTGAAAGCTCATTGTACTGTTACTGTCATGTCCATATTTTCTTTTTGACAAAATAGTGTAAAAATACTTTTAATTAATGTTTTTCTAAATATTAGTTATGTTATTAACATAATATGCTATACTATGTTAAACAAGAGACTACGTTTTTACACCTTGTTAATATTTGATTTGGATAAACGTTTTTAATTAAAAACAATTAACCTTAAAAGCCTTTTATTCCATCTATTTACAAAATATTTTTCATTTTACTAGTTTACAGATGGCATGCTTGATTAATAAATGTTATTGTAATGAAGTACGTATATTTATTCTATTTAATTATTTATTCAATATCAATTTTTCATAATTAATAGGAAAATGGTGACCGCTTAAACCACTATGCCATCTGTGTAGTCATGATTGATCATACTTTACGGAAACTTAAATACGAAGATTAGTATGAGTTATTAAACATAGAATAAAAAAAACAATTACCTGTACAACACAAGTAAAGTCACTATTCGTTTTGTAAAAAAGAAACTCATTCGATTTAAATGAAAATGTACAAATACAATGTAACAACTGAGAGATCAAAACATCTTCCTGATCCCAATCATGAGTCCATTTGACATTGATTTCGTTACGCTTATTAACAGGGCCAAATAAAAACCAAAAGGTATCAACCGTGAACTGCAGTTATATAAGTATCTGATTAGTGTACCATGACTTAACATTACAATCCTAACAGTCGAGATGTTACTTGTATTCGTTCTCTGTCACTTGTCGGTGTTCGTGGCCGCGAATCCTTTTCACAAGTATCCATTTGTCTTTCTCCTCGATGTCGGCAATGAAGAACTGGAAAAGACTAACTCTGAGCAAATCAGAGTTTCTGTTCCTGGAGGATCAATAGCTTTACGATATCCAGCAATAGGCTATGGTAATACTATAGGGCATATTCGAGTAAGTGGTATAGATTTCGGTACGGATTTAAAAGCAAGTATCGTGGATGGTGGTCCTGGTTACAAATACGTTGTGCTTGTATTCGTGGGAAAACCAGATACTCCGTATGATGCTGTTTTGACAGTGCAGACGGTAATCGATAATAATATAAATATACAAAACGTTGAAAATATTGCGAATAGTGAACCTAACACGAACCAAAGTGAAGAAGATAAAAATGATAGTGCTGAAGACTTGAGTGATACAGATATAGATAAAAATGTTCAGAGTGAGACTTATATTGAGAATAACAATGCTGAATTAATGCAGTCAAGCTCTAACATGTATAGTTATGTTAATAACGAATCAGTAAACGACACTGAAGACGATGATGACAGTGATTATAATAATGAAGAAATAGAGGGTAAGCAAGTATACTCTGACATAAATAGTGAATATTCAGTAGAGAATGCAGACTTTGAAGATGTTAATAATGCAAAAGATATTCACACTCAATATACCGACGATATAGATAAAGAAAATCCAAATGTTCAGCTGAAGAGTGTCCAACTGGAAGAAACTGATGATGACGAAAGGTACGATGGAGAAGTAAACCTTAAAACGAAACCCTCAGAACAACAGCCTGAAGGTCTTACTGATTATGAAGATTTTCAAGAGCATTTAAATTACGGAAATGAGATATATTCTCAAGAAGAGTATCAGAAAAGTTCCAACTATCAAGAAGATCCCTTAGATTATGTGGATCCGTATGCAGAAGAATTCAATGATGGAGTAGATAAATAAAAAGATTTAAACAATAATAATAATTACATAGATGCAGATGATAGTTATGCAGTAGCATATTGAATACATTTGTAAGTTATTTCGTTTTAGACAAATTCTATTAAATTTAAAGTATGTTGATTGTGATTAAGTACATAGTTAAATAACAAAAGTCATAGATGGAATATATTGTTAAAGTCATTGAGTTAAAACAACACTAGAGAAGCAAACCTCATTATCACACGTCGAAAAAAGTGTAACCACTTTTTAACTTTGACGACGTAGCTTTGATACCACTAAACATTTGAAAGTAAACATATTTATGTCTCATTTACACGCGAGACAAGAACAATACCATCGCTCGGATTAGACAAAGACAAAGACATAACTTTACGATGGTGGGCCAGTGTTGACTACCGTATGAAATTTTACCCATAACAACCAAGAAACAATTTTTTTTTAAAACAATTTTGTAATAAAATAAATATAAATATAAATAAAATATATATTAATTAAATATAAATATATATTTTGTAATAATTTAAATATTTTAAATAATATATTTCGAATTGAATGGAATAGGTATAAATAATAAAATAACTAGAAATATTTGGTTAAAAGGGTTTATATTCAGTGTAAAATCAAACTCCGCTATGAAGCATCAGTTTTGTATACAATTGTCTTTAAGACTCTTTTTTATAAGTTTGTGTGAATATTTTACTTTCATGATACAATCCTATTTTTAGCTATGTATAAATAATGACATGTAATAGTAAAAGTGAATGATCAACTTGTACTGATAATAAATAATCCCCAGGGTGTATTGCAAATTCTTTTAATATTTTAAAATACAAATAAAAAAAAATAGAAAAAAATATGTATGTTTTTTTTGTTTTTTATATTTTTTTATTTACTTTTTATTTTATATATATATTTATTTTTTTGTACAATTGTTATTTATATTTGATAATTAATTAAGAAAAATGAATGAATGAATGAATTAATTATTTTATACAAAAGTCTCCAGCACTGCGAGCTTGGCAGTAGGTGAACGTTCAACGGGTCCCTAAAAAAAGTGATCGATTCAGCCCTAACAACTACCGTTCTTCCTATATTTTATTACTATTGACAAAATGTTTAAAAACAGTATAAAGCATATTATTTCATAAATTATAAATTCTCCCACTAATGTGGGAAAACAAAAATGATTTTTTAATGGTAACACTGATTCTAAATTACAATTATCAATGTTTTATTTCAATTATAGCCTTATTTACGATATTATCAATTCAAAAACCATAAACTTACACATGATAAGTAATTCCGCATGATTTATTATGGTTTTGTGACCTTGAATCGCATTCTTTCACTACGCATTTACACATTTTGGCGATTGTTACTGTCATGTGTCGCTATGTTCAACTCGGTTGACGCCACATTGAACACTGAATTGACGTTTGCTACGCATATGCCTGTGGACAGATGTGCAGTAGCAACGATTTTAGGCGGTAATTACTCATCTATGTAAGTATTATATCAATGGTTAAAGTACACAGTTTATTGTTAAAGAATTTTTAAACAATGTTAAGATATGCTTGTATCATTTATTATTTTGTTTGTGGAATGAATAACTATAAGCCAGAAAAAACAAATCTTATTTTCTTTTGAAAACCAATTATCTAAACCAACTTACTACGAACTACGAACCTCCGCTTTTGTCTGTGCGCCGTAACTACGACTCCTTTTTGATATATTTTTTAAGTTTTGGGTTGTGTCAGATAGGTTGTGTATCTCTCTCTACATAGCTACCATCTTCATCTCTACTTACCAATTTATAAATGTCTGAATATTTTGAATATAAATTATCTATGAAAATTCTTCTATTGATATTGATAACAAGGAGTTATAAAGAAAAAGTATACTACGACATTATAAATACTTCTAAAATACTCAGAACAGATAAATTTTATTACGAAACTTAATCCTTAATAGGTAGAAGGTTTTATATTTAATATCACTTTAAAGGTTCCAAGGACAATATATTGTAAACAAGTTGCGCTTGAGTATTTTTAATCGTTTGTTTCGTTCGTTTTCTTAGGTATTATGGGACTTCTAAAAGGACAATTTGAAAATAATAGATTTAATATTGCTTATTAGGCCATAGGCTATATGAATAACGTTATATTAAAAGCCAAATAAGCAGAGCAGTACCTATACGAATCAGGTGAAACCACAAGCTGAAAGTGTATCATCTTGTTCGTAAGCGTGTCAACGTCTTAACTAAATATAACTCTAAATCTTAAATAACTATAAATCATCTTAACTCACTTCTAAGAAATTCAAATATATCATTATCATTGCTATTTCTGTGTGCCAAAAGATGGATGGAAACATTGTAGATTCTATGTCAGTGTTGTAACGAAAAGGATCTACTAGTAGAATATTTCCGGGTACAAAATATAAAACCTAATCTAGGTAGTTACAATTTTGTTGAAATCAGATGCTTTTGCTCTAATCGTGGCCATAATATTGTATTCCGCGAACCCAGCACTAGAGCTGAGTATGGCCGTTAAACACTGCTTTTCAGAAGATATTTATTTGGCAATGCGCAAGTAACAGACATCATTGCTGGTTTCAGTGTTTTACCGCACCCACTGTGCTCCACAGTTGTTTGCAAACTGAAAAGTGTAAAAAAATAGTTCCTGACTTTAAAAAACGCAGAAACTATTTTTTTAAATGGTTGGTTTGTTAGAGAATAGCCCCTCATCAAGGGTCAATAAACTCAATATTTTATTGCATAAACATACATATTATTTGCTAAGTTTTACTTACTTTGAAGAATGTCAAATTCTTTTGCATTATTTGTTTACAGATTAATATCATCTTGAATCTCGTGGTAAGTTCCACGTGGATCGTCTCAAGGTTCGATCGTTCAGCTGCAATCATCGCAGCTGGTGGCCGTTAGTGATACAAAAATAAATATTGTATCAAATTGGCTTGCCCTCGATATTTGCACGTGCTAAACTTATAGCGAAGGAGTATTTTATAAAAAAGTTAAGACATGTGTGATCAAAGTAGTTACATTCTAAAATATGTTATATAACTACTTGTTGATTTGAATTAACATAGCTTATAGTGTGGTTTTTAAATAAGAATAAATTTTATTTACATACATTTTTTAATACATGCATAGTTATACATCAGGACAACCATACATACACATAAATTGACAATAATTAGAAGTAGATCCATACATTGCACTTGAATGCTCCAGAGTAGTCAGCATCCACATAGAACGTCTAAAATGGAGGTCTGATGCATGAGGACTTCGTTAGAGTTCTGCAGATATTTCCAGAACAGCGCTGATATGTGACGGTAACCCGGTAGCGGTGATGACCTACAGGGTTTCCACACACGGGCACGCCGTCATCGCGGCGGTAAGTTAATGAGGATTTTTTTTTCTTTCGGAAATCCCCTCGGATACCACTTACCGGTGACAATTTCGGACTCGAACCGACTAAAACCGCACGCCTTCTCAGGTACCAGTAGTCGGGGAACCAGGTGTACCCTAGAAAGGAAATCCCTGGTGCCCCGACGTACCTCGGGCCATCTACGGCGGGTAGACGACCCCCCTGTGTGGGAACCCCGTGTTCCCCCTGTGCTCCCGGAGTTTATTCGCTTGATAAACAGCAAGATAAATTTATTCCCAAGTTGTTTGTTTGTGTTGTTGTCTGACAGTATAACTGAGGATTGAAAAACCGGGCCTTAGAGAAATGCATTAACATTTTCATAAATTTATTCTTATTGTAATGAGTTCCATATTCTATTTATTTATAGATAAAATAATTATATTTATACGGAAATACTCGTATACTAAAGAGAAGACACTAAATTTCAACACAAATCAAATTTAAATTGAATTCCAATTTAAAGTTTGCTTCAAAACGGACCAAATAAATCAAATTTATTGTAGCCTTATATTTTTTTTAAAAAAAGATAAAGAGATATTCAAACGAGAAATGAAATAAAGATGTTTGGATTCCCTGTTTTCCAATTTTTTTCTAAAAAAGGATTTACATTTACAGTGCAGCACTCTAACGACTTATATAAATTTCCTTCATTGAAAAGCTCTCATAACATAAATAGATCTTATCTGTCATTCCTCTGAAATTGCAATCTGCGGGCACTGTTTAATCAGGCTGTTATTTGCTAAAGACGTGATATATAAAAAAACCATTAGCTAGGGACTCAACTTATTTCTCCAAGTATTGCAGTAGGATTATGTAATCACGTTTTTAGTCGTAAGCCCTGTCAAAAATTCATTCAACGTTATTACAGCTGGATTCTCATTGAATAAAAAAAAATCATTTCATGAAATTTAGCTCAACCGCTAAATCATTATTTGAAATTTAAGTTTTTTTTTACAGAAAAAGAACATCCTTAGTTCCAAATATTCTGAGGAAATGTTACAACTTTTAATTTTCTAAGAACTTTATTCGGCCTATTATCAAAATAATAACTTGAACTGTTGCGCGTACCAACAACAGAATTTCATAATTTATTTATAAAGGTATATTAGGTACCTATGGTAAAATTGCATGCAGCTGGATTCCACGCTCTTATCATAACCGCTACCTCGTAGTAGAGTTCGGAAGTGGTGACCCACTGATGACCCTACATGAGCGGAGGGCATTTTTATCTGTGAATGTATGAATATATTTCTTCTAGACTGGACCAAAAAATGTATGTGTGTGAGAGTTGCAGTTAATATAAGTATAGTATGATACTACTGTATATAGTAGACAAATTGTGTACTCAATCAGGATTACTAAAGATCGCATGACTGTCGAATTTAGACCGTGTTGAAAGTATTCTCTATTATTATATTATATTTCAATAACCACTATAATTTGAACTGTCAATATATAGATTTTTGTACTATGTCCAAAAAATACTAGTTACTTGAAAGCTTTTTTTACGTAATTTTCAACTTAACAGCACATAGTGTTTACCAATTTTAA